TTTTTCTGGAAGCTATGCTGCGCCATTTTCTCTACATTTTCCCCCCACGTGGGCCACCCTAGCAATTTGAGTTCAACCAATGAGCTTCAGCCACTCGCCATATAAGTGTCAGCTAGCAAGATGCACATGACACACACACAGAGCGAGAGAGCAATGACATGGTGCAAATATCTGCACATATGTGATGTAGTAAGCAATTTTTGGGGACCACTTTTGGCTCGTGAGCATTGCTTTCAGAACTACTGGCTAAAAAGTACCAGAGAATTCTAATCTCTTTAGAGCAGTAGTCAAGAAAACTCTAGAGCACCGGAAAGCTACCATGTGCAGTTTAGTAGCATGCTAATTCAGTGCTGTAAAGGAAAATTACTACATTGCCATGCTACAGTGCATTCGGAAAGTATTCAGACCCCTTGACTTTTCCCACATTAGTCTTATTCTAAAATTGATTAAATTGCTTTTTTCCCCCTCATCAATCTACACACAATACCCAATAATGACAAACAGGTCTAGAATTTTTAGCACATAAAAAAAAAATGTAAATATAACATTTACATAAGTACTTTGTTGAAGCACCTTTGGCAGCGATTACAGCCTCGAGTCTTCTTGGGTATGACGCTACAAGCTTGGCACACCTGTATTTGGAGAATTTCTCAAATTTTTCTCTGCAGATCCTCTCAAGCTCTGTCAGGTTGGATGGGGAGCGTCGCTGCACAGCTATTTTCAAGACTCTCCAGAGATGTTTATCGGGTTCAAGTCCGGGCCAGTCTAGGACATTCAGAGACTTGTCCCGAAGCCACTCCTGCGTTGCCTTGGCTGTGTGCTTAGGGTCATTGTCCTGTTGGAAGGTGAACCTTTGCTCCAGTCTGAGGTCCTAAGCGCTCTGGAGCAGGTTTTCATCAAGGATCTCTATGTACTTTGCTCCGTTCATCTTTCCCTCGATCCTGACTAGTCTCCCAGTCCCTGCCGCTGAAAACATCCCCACAGCATGATAATGCCACCGCTACAGTGAGGGGAAAAAAGTATTTGATCCCCTGCTGATTTTGTACGTTTGCCCACTGACAAATAAATGATCAGCATATAATTTTAATGGTTGGTTTATTTTAACAGTGAGAGACAGAATAACAACAAAAAAATCCAGAAAAACGCATGTAAAAAATGTTATAAATTGATTTGCAATTTAATGAGGGAAATAAGTATTTGACCCCCTCTCAATCAGAAAGATTTCTGGCTCCCAGGTGTCTTTTATACAGGTAACGAGCTGAGATTAGTAGCACACTCTTAAAGGGAGTGCTCCTAATCTCAGCTTGTTACCTGTATAAAAGACAACTGTCCACAGAAGCAATCAATCAGATTCCAAACTCTCCACCATGGCCAAGACCAAAGAGCTCTCCAAGGATGTCAGGGAGAAGATTGTAGACCTACACAAGGCTGGAATGGGCTACAAGACCATCGCCAAGCAGCTTGGTGAGAAGGTGACAACAGTTGGTGCGATTATTTGCAAATGGAAGAAACACAAAATAACTGTCAATCTCCCTCGGCCTGGGGCTCCATGCAAGATCTCACCTCGTGGAGTTGCAATGATTATGAGAACGGTGAGGAATCAGCCCAGAACTACACGGTGGATCTTGTCAATGATCTCAAGGCAGCTGGGACCATAGTCACCAAGAAAACAATTGGTAACACACTACGCCGTGAAGGACTGAAATCCTGCAGTACCCGCAAGGTCCCCCTGCTAAAAAAAAGCACATATACAGGCCCGTCTGAAGTTTGCCAATGAACATCTGAATGATTCAGAGGAGAACTGGGTGAAAGTGTTGTGGTCAGATAAGACCAAAATCGAGCTCTTTGGCATCAACTCAACTCACCGTGTTTGGAGGAGGAGGAATGCTGCCTATGACCCCAAGAACACCATCCCCTCCGTCAAACATGGAGGTGGAAACATTTTGCTTTGGGGGTGTTTTTCTGCTAAGGGGACAGGACAACTTCACTGCATCAAAGGGACGATGGACGGGGCCATGTACCGTCAAATCTTGGGTGAGAACCTCCTTCCCTCAGCCAGGGCATTGAAAATGGGTTGTGGATGGGTATTCCAGCATGACAATGGCCCAAAACACACAGCCAAGGCAACAAAGGAGTGGCTCAAGAAGAAGCACATTAAGGTCCTGGAGTGGCCTAGCCAGTCTCCAGACCTTAATCCCATAGAAAATCTGTGGAGGGAGCTGAAGGTTCGAGTTGCCAAACATCAGCCTCAAAACCTTAATGACTTGGAGAAGATCTGCAAAGAGGAGTGGGACAAAATCCCTCCTGAGATGTGTGCAAACCTGGTGGCCAACTACAAGAAACGTCTGATCTCTGTGATTGCCAACAAGGGTTTTTCCACCAAGTACTAAGTCATGTTTTGCAGAGGGGTCAAATACTTATTTCCCTCATTAAAATGCAAATCAATTTATAACATTTTTGACATGCGTTTTTCTGGATTTTGTTGTTGTTATTCTGTCTCTCACTGTTCAAATAAACCTACCATTAAAAATTATAGACTGATCATGTCTTTGTCAGTGGGCAAACGTACAAAATCAGCAGGGGATCAAATAAATGTTTCCCTCACTGTATGCTTCACCGTACAGATGGTGCCAGGTTTCCTCCAGACGTGATGCTTGGCATTCAGGCCAAAGAGTTCAAATCATGGTTTCATCAGACAAGAGAATCTTGTTTCTCATGGTCTGAGAGTCCTTTAGGTGCCTTTTGGCAAACTCCAAGCAGGCTGTCGTGTGTCTTTTACTGAGGAGTGGCTTCTGTCTGGCCACTCTACCATGAAGGCCTGATTGGTGGAGTGCAGCAGAGATGGTTGTCCTTCTGGAAGGTTCTCCCATCTCCACAGAGGAGCTCTGTCAGAGTGACCATCAGGTTCTTGGTCACCTTCCTGACCAAGGCCCTTCTCCCCCGATTGCTCAGTTTGGCCATTTAAGAATGATGGAGGCTGCAGACATTTTTGGGTGCCCTTCCCCAGATCTGTGCCTCGACACAATCCTGTCTCGGAGCTCTACGGACAATTCCTTCGACCTCATGGCTTGGTTCTTGCTCTGACATGCACTGTCAACTGTGGGACCTTATACAGACAGGTGTGTGCCTTTCCAAATCATGTCCAATCAATTGGATTTACCACAGGTGGACTCCAATCAAGTTGTAGAAACATCTCAAGGATGCTCAATGGAAACAGGATGCATCAGAACTCAATTTCGAGTCTCATAGCAAAGGGTCTGAATACTTATGTGAATAAGGTATTTATGTTCTTTATATTTAATACATTTGCTAACATTTCTAAAAACCTGTTTTCACTTCGCCATTATGGGGTATTGAGTGTAGATTGATGAGGGGAAAAAAACAGTTAATGCATTTTAGAATAAGGCTGTAACGTAAGAAAATGTGGAAAAAGTCAATGGGGTCTGAGTACTTTCCGAATGCACTGTAAATTGTGACTTTACCAAAGAGAATTAAGGTCAGCCTGGAGGTTTTAAAAAACATTTATTGTTATTTTTTTCACGTTAATAGTTTATAGAGGCATGTACTTCATTCACAAAATAGGAACAGGAAAAATTAAAATCAGAGAAGAAAAATAGATAGGCTGACACCCTTTTTTTTTTTTTTACATTATCAATATATATATACAGTACACTTTGTAAAACATGACATTGAAAAAAACTATAGATCCAAGCTTGCAATAAGCAGAGTACAAATACATCTGCACTGTACATGCAGAAGACACATGGGTGTGGGTTAGTCAAATCATCCCCCCTAAAATATAGCAAGAATGATCCAAATCTTCCTCTGTTTTGACAGGAGTCACTATTGTGGCTTCAGGTATAATGGTGGGAAGTCTTGTAGGGTCAAACTAAATGGATCTAGTTGTAGTTAAATAAATAATATGGCTGTTTTAACACCACAACCTCCCATCTATCCCCATGAACACATTTACAGCTGAGCTCCATGCTGATGAGCATTAGCCACCATGTTATTTACACAGACTTTGATCAAAATCTCATGTAAAGGCCACGTATGTTTAATGAAGTGTATTCTCCCAAAATTAAAAAAGAGCACTCTAGTTAATGTCAAACAATGAGCTCTTAGTCTCTGGATCAAGTAGCTCAGAGAGTGTAGCTGTAAGTAAATCTATTAGGTAGCAAATAGAGTGGCCATATGGAAAGAAACCACATTTTCATTCTGGGTTATTGAACACAATGTGTAGAACACAGGGAGAACTATTCAGAGTTCCAGCAGAGTGAATTTAGAACCCTTGGCCGGTAGCAACCTTACCTCAGTATAACCAAGGTTACCATTCTGAGTGACATAATCCTCTCTTGGATTCATTGGTTTATGAGGAGGGAGGAGCTCAACAAACAATGACCGTCGCCGGGGTCAGGAGGTCAAACTAGAATGAAAGAACAACTAGAGGAAGTTCAAAAGGCCACACACTCAAAGGCACCATTCCAAATGGGATCCCTTGCCCCTCAACCAAGGGCACTTGTCTAGATGCAAAAGGACTGGATGGTGGTAGCTTTTCACCATATTGCTTATACCTATCCAATCGTTCCAGATTTACACAAGAACCTAGAGGTAGGGGTTAGGGGTCGATTTGGAATTGAACACACTTCCATAACTGTATAAAATCCCATCACTATCCCTCTTTATTACATTCGGAACTTAAGCCACAATACTCAATGACACACACCACTAGGTCTACTACTAACCCACCACACACCTTTAAAACTCTGGTCTGTAAACTTGTACATTGCTATGGCCATGAGGAATATACGGGGAGTGTCCTATATCTTTTAATTGTTTATAATTTACCTTTATTTAACTAGGCAAGTCAGTTAAGAACAAATTCTTATTTACAATGAAGGCCTACACCGGCCAAACCCGGACAACGCTGGGCCAATTGTGCGCCGCCCTATGGGACTCCCAATCACGGCCGGTTGTGATAGAGCCTGGAATCGAACCAGGGAGTCTGTAGTGACGCCTCACGCACTGAAATGCAGTGCCTTAGACCACTGCGCCACTCGGGAGCCCATATCAATACCTTTACAACGGTTGTCTTCACTTTTGACTTCAACTGAGGTAAAAAATGTAAAGTTTTGAAACGCTTTTCCGTTTATCTAAAACCAGTTGAGGAAACCGCAGATTCTGTCCGCCCCTGTCACTGACACCTTCCAATCACAGCTGTTTTGACACATGGACACACTACAACACCACCTCACAGTTCACACAAACTGAGCCCCGAACACTTTCACATCACAGGGAATCTTACTGCATATGATACATACTGGTCCACTATAGACATAAACTGTGAGGCACCTCGTTTTGGAGGAACAACAAGTACTGTACAACAGAAGGGAGCTAGACAGCTGAGAGGTGTTGCCACCTGCTGGCCGGCACCAGTACTGCAGGGTGGCCCAGCCTCGACAGCTAGGGTTTGGGCACACATGGGAAAACCTTAAAAACATCAAGTCACAACTAAGCAATTTAATTTGGTTTCCATGAAACAGGCCAATGATGTGAGAGCATAGAACTAGAAGAACTAGAATACTAAAACTAGAATTCTAATTCTATGGCATCAGGTGTTGTAAACACTCCCAGTTCAGAGGTCAGAGCAGCTGATTGGTCAGCCCTTTATTTGGCAATGAATGGTGACCTCAGGCTGATCCCAAATCACAGCCTATTCCCCATATAGCACACAAGTTTAACCACTAACCCTACGTGGCTCTAGTCAAAAGTACACTATATGGAGAAATAGGGTGTAATTTCAGACGCAGCCCTCGTAAAAGGTGATGTTCAAGGTTGTAGTGTCTGATACGTTAAAATAATCATTGATCAACGTGTAATAAAGTGACCATGAGCTAGAACTGGTTGAGGAGGAGCTTGAGGATATACTGTATACTCTCACATTAAATCCCCTTCAGGGTCGACACACAGCTGGTGAATGAATGTAAACCAAACTATCAATCCATCCATTCATTAACACCTAAAGCTGATCCTTCTAGGCTGTTAGTTACAGCAAGCACCTGCCTGCACATCCTCACACTCTCAACAAATATGCCTACATACACACTCATGCAGGCATTCCCTCTTTCACTCTCTTCACAAATCTGATTACACACACCAACTCAAGGACACACCTTTCTTAATCTGTTTTTGGACATGAAGAATGCAGCACGTGATGGATATTAAAACTTAATCTTGAGAGTGCAAATGCGACATGTGCATTGACATGATCAAAACCCGGTTGGACACTCCCATTTCACTTTAGCAATGGTTTAGTCCAGCATCCCCTCCAATGGTTCTTCTTCGTATAGTCCAGGTTTTGTCTTTTAGGCACCCCTTGTAATGTCCATCGATGGTACACACCAAACACTCCCATAAATTATGTGTAAACAAAATTAGGCTTCTTCCATGTAGTTTTATCAGTCTTGGTGATATCTTCCAGCTTCATAGCATCCATTTTATAAACGTTGGGTGAAAAATCTGTACAAATCATTATGTCCCAGTACCTCCCAGCTCAGACAGTCTTCTCCCAGTTCAGGTCCTTCCTCAGCCCTGGTCCATTTAACACCCAGTCTGTCAGCTTTTGGCACAGGCAGTCTCCACTCTGAAGTGCGAAGATTGATTACTATTCCTGCCATCATCAAGTGATTCTGAGATCCATTATCAGTCCTGGGTGAACAATCGGGTCACAGTCAACTAAAATAAAAATGTGTTTACAGTAGGCTTTGTGTGGTTCTTCTGTGCAACTGCATAAATACTTGTGTGTGTGTGTAACTTGCTGATGATTAAAAGACAAGGCTATAGGGTATATCTATGGTGACGCGTGAAAGTCCGTTTCCATGGTTATGCTGAGTGTGACATTTTCGTAGCTACAGGGATGCATTGGGAGACTGTTTCCATGGTGACAAAAAAATGGTGGCATACTTAAGGCATCATATTAGATGGCTGGTTTCTTCTCCTGAGGAGAGAGAAGAAAGAGAGCGAGAGAAAGATACAGAGAGAGATAATACATTTAGTTTATGAAATCCAGCCTCATAGAAGCCAGATGTAGTCAGGGGCAGAACTCTGGTTGGCTCACCTTGTTATGACTCCCTCTCCATGATGATTGTGATGGTCTCACTCCCAGCTAGAACACAGAGGTCAGAGGTTTTTATGACCAAAACTATCCCTTAGCTACCATCAATACCATTCTGAGCAGAACATACAGATCAATTGTGAGCAGATACCTACTGTCATTCTCCAGGTGTTCTGTGACGTTGTTGGCATGCTGCTCATTGCCTAGGAGATGGTTCTGAGACTCACTGAGAGGACTGGCCGGGACATCTTCAATACTGGGAAGAAAATAATTCATTTAAAAACATCTAATTGATAATGCATTACTGAACATTTTTAGATAATATTTTACGTTACACTATATATTTGTCAAATAGAAGCGCTCAGGTTTCAGCTTAATCTTAATCTCACATCTGATCACCGTTTGTTGGTACTGTTCACATTGATTGATATATTGATCATATTTGATTACCTTTTATTGGCCTCTGGCTGTAGGCTGACTGTGGGCTGTTCTGGGTCAATGTTGACCAGCCGTGATGGGAACGTCAGTCCATCACCCTGACCCATTATACCACCCTGCACACAGTTGTCCAATACACACCTGATGGAACGTATCCATCACCTGATTACACACCAACAACAACACACCACACACGTATACACAGTATCACACCACACCACACAGTATCACAACACCACACAGTATCACAACACACCACACCACACAGTATCACAACACACCACACCACACAGTATCACAACCATCACACAGTATCACAACACACCACACCACACAGTATCACAACACACCACACAGTATCACAACACACCACACCACACAGTATCACAACTCATCACACAGTATCACAACACACCACACCACACAGTATCACAACTCATCACACAGTATCACAACACACCACACCACACAGTATCACAACACACCACACAGTATCACAACACACCACACCACACAGTATCACAACACACCACAGTATCACAACACACCACACCACACAGTATCACAACACACACACAGTATCACAACACACCACACCACACAGTATCACAACACACCACACAGTATCACAACACACCACACCGTGAGAGAGGAGAGAGAAGATAAGAAACTCTGGGTTAGAGACTGGTTGATTAAGATTTCATCCATCCATCCATCCCTCACTCTAACCTGGTGAAGATGGGTAGCAGCCAGAACTTCTTCTGGTCTCCAAACACCTGGGCGATGTTCTTCCCGAAGCCCAGAGAGAAACCGTTCTTATCAGAACCTGTCCTGAATACTGGAGCCCTGAACGCCTCTGAGGGAGGGAGAGAGAGAGGGGGGGGGTAGAGGGGGAGTGAGTGAGCGTGGAGTGTCTGAGGAGCGAGTGAGGGTGTGTATCACTGTGTGTGCGTTGCAGGACTGTGTGTGCGTGTGCGTGAGGGACTGTGTGTGTGTTACCTATGGTGGACCTGTTCTTCCCTACGAGCCACAGGTGATAGCTGAAGAGGGAGAGAATGCTGATGCAGAACATGGCCGCCACAAAAAAGAGAAACAAGACATGGAATTTGGCGTGAGTGTCTGGCAGCTCATTCTGGGAGGAGAGGGGGAGAAGAGAAAGAAAGAGAGAGAGAGAGAGAGTGTCAATGTCAAAAACCACATGGAGGAAGGGGTGGTGGTGAGAGAGAGAGACGCGGGGTGCCTTGGTAACCATGTCAACACAACAAAACACGACAACGCACACATATTATAACGCCACCACACAACATCATCCACAGGTGCACTTCACGCCCTGCAACAGCAACACTAAGGCTTTGGAGGCTGGGTTACCTTGGGGCAGTTCTCTGCCGATTTCCTCCGGCAAAGCTTTAGTACAAACAGAGACAAGACTGTTAGACACCAGGAGAGGTCAGAGGGAGAGAGGGTAGGGTAGAGCGAGAGAGGGGGAGGTGGTGAAATAGGAGTCATTTGGGGGGAAAGAGAAAACCAGGTGGAAGAAAGAGAGTGTGTTAAAAGAGGACTGAGGAGCAGGGAGGTGGCAGAGTCAGGGGTGGTGAGAAGGCATGGTAGAAATGAACAGAGAGAGAGGGGGGGCGCGGAGGGCAGACAGAACAGAGAACATGAATAATGTCTGTGTGAGGGAAAGAGGGGGGTCAGAGGGAGAGCAAAAGGTAAAAAGAGAGAGAGAGAAGGCAGAGGAAGGACAGAAGAAAGAAAGAGGAAGCTGCATAACAGTGAAGCAGTACAGCTGAGGCCAGAGTACTAAGCAGCAGGATGTGGAACAAGCCAAGCGGTGACAACACACAGATAGTAGCATTTCCCACACTCACCATTTCGACCCTTCTCATCCACACACAGACTGTAGCGTTTCATATCGATCTTACATGTGGGAAAAAACACGCACACACACACAAACCAACATCTGCAGCACTGAATGCATGGGTGGGTGGGGAATAACAAGACTAAAGCAGTGGATGCCAGAACAAACACAGGCTACAGTGAATGTGAGAGATGGAGGAGATGGGAGACCATAGCTGTGTTCGAATACTCATACTAACCGCACGAACTGTACTATTTGTGAAGTAAATAGAGCATGCTTATTGGTCATAGTATGGAAATAGTTAGTATGCCAAAAGTTCCCGGATGTCGTACTAAATTCACCAAAATAGGAATTATACAAGAAGTGGACACTATTTCCGTGATTTTAGGGACCATTGTGCAATTCTTCCGAAAATGGGCGTGGCTTCACAACGTTTTCAGATTTGAAGAAAATAACGGAAAATATGCAGCCGAGGTCCGACGAGAGCGGATTACAAAGTTCTTGCTTTAATAATTAGACAAATGTTGGAAATCGGGATACAAATTCATAGAGATCTTTCAATCAATTATGACAAATGTTGGAAAATGTTGAGCAATGTAATAAGTTTTGACTGTAACAAATGTTTGGAAAATGTTGAGCAATGTAATAAAGTAATGACTTTTCAAATAAGTTACATTACACGTTATGTTGGCTGACAATTTGTTAGCTACGCTATCCTTACGAACCGCATAGCATTACAGTATGTACCGGTATGTTAGCTAGTTACCGTCCTAACATTAGTTGGCACTAATACATCGAACTTGCCAGGCAGTATATTAACTACAGTGAGGGAAAAAAGTATTTGATCCCCTGCTGATTTTGTACATTTGCCCACTGACAAAGAAATGATCAGTCTACAATTTTTATGGTAGGTTTATTTGAACAGTGAGAGACAGAATAACAAAAAAATCCAGAAAAACGCATGTCAAAAATGTTATAAATTGATTTGCATTTTAATGAGGGAAATAAGTATTTGACCCCCTCTCAATCAGAAAGATTTCTGGCTCCCAGGTGTCTTTTATACAGGTAACGAGCTGAGATTAGGAGCACACTTTTAAAGGGAGTGCTCCTAATCTCAGCTTGTTACCTGTATAAAAAGACACCTGTCCACAGAAGCAATCAATCAATCAGATTCCAAACTCTCCACCATGGCCAAGACCAAAGAGCTCTCCAAGGATGGGCTACAAGACCATCGCCAAGCAGCTTGGTGAGAAGGTGACAACAGTTGGTGCGATTATTCGCAAATGGAAGAAACACAAAATAACTGTCAATCTCCCTCGGCCTGGGGCTCCATGCAAGATTTCTCCTCGTGGAGTTGCAATGGTCATGAGAACGGTGAGGAATCCGCCCAGAACTACACGGGAGGATCTTGTCAATGATCTCAAGGCAGCTGGGACCATAGTCACCAAGAAAACAATTGGTAACACACTACGCCGTGAAGGACTGAAATCCTGCAGCGCCCGCAAGGTCCCCCTGCTCAAGAAAGCACATATACAGGGCCGTCTGAAGTTTGCCAATGAACATCTGAATGATTGAGAGGAGAACTGGGTGAAAGTGTTGTGGTCAGATGAGATCAAAATCGAGCTCTTTGGCATCAACTCAACTCGCCGTGTTTGGAGGAGGAGGAATGCTGCCTATGACCCCAAGAACACCATCCCCACCGTCAAACGTGGAGGTGGAAACATTTTGCTTTGGGGGTGTTTTTCTGCTAAGGGGACAGGACAACTTCACCACATCAAAGGGACGATGGACGGGGCCATGTAACGTCAAATCTTGGGTGAGAACCTCCTTCCCTCAGCCAGGGCATTGAAAATGGGTCATTCCAACATGACAATGACCCAAAACACACGGCCAAGGCAACAAAGGAGTGGCTCAAGAAGAAGCACATTAAGGTCCTGGAGTGGCCTAGCCAGTCTCCAGACCTTAATCCCATAGAAAATCTGTGGAGGGAGTTGAAGGTTCGAGTTGCCAAACGTCAGGCTCAAAACCTTAATGACTTGGAGAAGATCTGCAAAGAGGAGTCAGTGGGCAAACTTACAAATTCAGCAGGGGATCAAATACTTTTTTTCCCTCACTGTATATGCTATCTAAGTAACTACCCAAAGTTTATTGATTTTATTATTCACATCATTCTTAGCTAAGTGGTATAATCGTTGTGAGTTCTCAATGGACATAGTTAATTCTGGCTATCTACTCCGATTTCAGAGCACTCTCGTCTGAGTGTGCCAGAGCGCAGAATAACTGATGGATTTACGAACGCTCAACACCCGTTGAATATGGCCGGTGTCAGTAAATGTTGGCAAAGACAAGCATAATTAAATTGCTGCCAGCAGCAGTTACAGTCACCAACGCTTTGGATAACATGAATAGTCTAACCAGCTCTACTAGGGCGAGTAAAATGGTCAGAGTGAGGTGTTCTCTCATTTGTGTCTGGAAGCAGCTAGCAAGCTAGCCAACGTTAGCCAGTTAGCTCGGGTGCTTGACTGCCGTTGTGAGGTAAGAACGATTGAATCAACCCTACTCCTCGGCCAGAGCGTCCAGTGTGCGCGCCGAGAGCGAAACGCTCTGAATTTACGAATGGACAATCTGTGCGCACTGGCACTCCAGATTGAATTTACAAACACACCCGAAATCGTAAAATGTCTAGCTAGTCATTTGTTATGCTAACAAGCTAGCAAGAGGTTGCATAGCAACAGCATCAACTTCCGGTAGACAGGTGAAGCGCTAGTACGCTCAACTGAAAGGATACCATTCGTTTACAGTATACTAAAATGAACTAATAGTATATAGTATGTACTCATTAAGTACGTAGTATACAGTATGTTAGTATGGGTATTCGAACACAGCTCATTACTCACTGTCCAGAACTTGATGAAATACTGCAGTACGGTGGCTGCAATGAACAAACAGTACACCAGAGAGTAGCACAGGAACAGAATAAAGAACTTGTAGTTGGAGAATCCCACACAGTTGTTCACCCTGAGAGGAGAGAGGCAAAAAATAAGTTGAGTTATGACCTCACTTCCTCTAAACATTAGAATAGTATGATCTACTGTGAATGTGAGGAAACAGACAACATACCAGGGGCAATGATGGTCCATCTTCAGCACACACCTAATACATGGAAGAGGCCAGAAGGAAAGACAAGGGAGAAGAATGAAACAAAACATTCTGAATTAGGCCATTCAACAGGAAAAGCAAGACTGGAAGAGAGAGGAGACAGGAAATAGCAGACTCACATGTCGCAGGCAGAACAGTGGTGGCAGCGGTCTGGTTTGATCACCTGACACCGGTCACAGTAGCGGATCGCTGTATAAAAAACACATCAACAACACATCAATCCAACTGATCAGCTACACACTCAACGGCCAGGGCTGGATCAATCAACTGGGAGACAGACAGACACACACACACAAACATAGATAGACAAGACAGATAGAGACAGACAGACCTCCAGCCCCGGTGCGTGTGTAGAGGGGCAGATTAGCGGCAGCCCTCCACAGGATCTCCTGCTGCGACTCTGGTCTCTCCTCCTTCACATACTGCTCCTTCTCTGCTTTAGGCAAGCAGAACTAACAGGAGAGAGAGAGATGGAGAGGAGGAAGAGAGAGAGAGGGAAGAGAGAGGAGAGAACAAAACAGACACAGGAAAATAACTTCAATTATGGTTTGTCCCTTAGCAACATTGTCCCTCCACCTGTGACATAACCTATGTCAATGGAATAAAGTTACCCATAGACACATCTATCCAGTGGAGCTGTGAGCTACATCATTGTGGATGTTTCAGGGCAGGTATCTAAAAAGGCATAGTACCTCTTTGGAGGGGTTGGCGGGCCTTGTGAAGATGGTCTTCCAGTAGGACCACACAAACATGACGAAGGACAGATGGAAGAACACCATGTAGATGACTGTAAGAGACACAGACAGAGTCAGAGACACATTCACACCTGGCTCCAACATAGCAGATATTCATATTTTGACTATCTGCACATGCATAGGTCAAGTGTAAGGGCTCAATTTAGTAGTGTCTACACTGAGCCTCTATGTGTGTTTACGTGCGTCCAACTTGAGCCCAGTCCAGCCAGACAGTAAATAAAGCTCTTTTCAGCCATGGTCCGGAACAACACTCCCAATGAGCAGCAAATGGGCCAATTTCAGTAAAAGCCAATCAACCAGTACAAATCAATCCCAGTCAATAGCCACTACTTACTCTTCTCTGCTATGCTGGGGATGGTGACTGCAGGAGGAAGAGGGGGGGAAGGAGAGAAAATAATGTTATGTTTGTATCTGGTGTATGTTGTGGGTGTCAGACATACTGTATTCAGCTAGCAACATCAAGACACATTGCCGTAAACATTGTAGAATGGCTCATTATTTTTCTTGCATTCCTGGCAAGCTTTCACCTGTCCAGTTCTTGGACATCAATGCAGAAGGAGAGGGGACGAGAGGAAGCCACGCCCACTTGAAACAAATGAAAAGCATTCTCTATCTTTACTTCTTCGTCTTTTACTTAGGTACATTATTGCAGGTAGAAAATAATGTTAACAGTTCTCTACATCTGGCAATATGTCGACAGATAACTGAAGTTGGTAGGCTATCATTATCCTAATGTATGATAGCTTTTAATGATGTGAATGCCCAAGTGCATGAAGGAAGTGCTAAGATTGAACAGTTTAATTCGCTAGCTAGCTAACGGGTAGCTACAGAGAATATGATTTGGCTAGTTATAGCGCTACCTGGGCAGGATCCAACTAGCTATATAAGCTAGCTAGCCAAACCTTTGTTATCTAGCTGCAGTCGCTCCATTCACTTCCTGTGACCAGCTAACGTTAGCTAGCTAGCACAAATATCAACCATAACACAACGACACTCGCAGTGAAAAGCATTTTTTTGTGATACTTACAAATGCAGAGCTCCACGACGTACGCATAATAGGACCAACATACGACTAGGGCGATAAAAACCACAGGTATCCAAGCTAAGCCCCGTTGACAGCATCTCAGTACGTGGGTGGGCGCCATCTTTACTCTTCCATCAAACCGAAGGGAGTGTTTGCGTGACGTCACGGACCAAACTCCCTGTGCAATTTCATTCGTCTCCCGTTAGAGTGCTCAAGTGTCCCACACTTCAAGTGCAGTCCTAAAAGCAAATCTGTCCTGCACAGCCAAATCAAATAAAAAGGACAAGGTTTCGGGGTCCAACTAGTTGTTTTCCCGCCCCTGAAGTGTGAACAGAGCAACAAATGTTTATTTTATTGTAGGCTATATCATTAGGTTAAATGGCTTCTTATGGTAGTTGTATTTATGTTTAAGTGACTGTAGAAGAGTGTGTGTGTGTGTTTGTGTGTGTGCCTGTATGTGTGTTTTACAGGCAGGAACATTACTGAACCTGCCATGAGTACCCCTATTCTTTTCAGATTCCCTAAAAGTAAGTTCTATTCACTCACTGTAATACACTTTGGATGACAGTTAAATTATATGACAACATCCCTTTTCTTGCAAAAAGAAAAATGTTTCCCCATGTAGCCTACCTACATAATGTCCTGAAATGCACTTTTCACCTCCGTCTTCAGAGACATGCCATCATCCTATAAAGGCCTTCGTGGGGAGGTTGTCTACTCAATGAAGGCTGAACTGAGCAGATCTATGTGAATACAAGCAAAGCCCAAGCTACTTTCAACTTTGTCTCAAACCGGGCTTCAACCCACTCCACACCTTCTGATGCTCCAGGATGGCACCATGGTACTGAACCCTTCCTCTACAACTGGATCCTGGACTTCCTGATGGGCCGGCCCCAGGTGCTGAGGGTAGGCAACAAGACCTCCGGCTCGCTGACCCTCAATATGGGGGCCCCTCAGGGGTGTGTGCTTAGTCCCCTCCTGTATTCCCTGTTCACCCATGACCACGTGGCCATGCACGACTCCAACACCATCATCAAGTTTGCTGATGACACGATGGTGGTAGGCCTGATCACCGACGGTGATGAGTCAGCCTACATGGAGGTGGTCAGAGACTTAGCAGTATGGTGCCAGGACAACAACCTCTCCCTCAACGTCAGTAAGACCAAGGAGCTGATCGTTGACTATAGGAAAAAGAGGGGAGAGCACTTCCCCATCCACATCGACGGGGCTGTTGTGGAACGGATTGAGATCTTCAAGTTCCTTGGCATCCACATCACTAAGGACTTAACATGGTCCACACACACCCGTACAGTCGTGAAGAGGGCACGGCAGCGCCTCTTCCCCCTCAGGAGGCAAAAAAAGATTTGGCAAGGGCCCTCAGATCCTTAAAAAGTTATACAGCTGCATCATCAAGAGCATCTTGACTGGCTGCATCACCACTTGGTATGGCAAATGCACCGCCCTTGACCGCAAAGCGCTACAGAGGGTGGTTGCGGACAGCCCAGTACGTCACTGGGGCCGAGCTCCCTGCCATTCAGGACCTCTATATCAGGCGGTGTCAGAGGAAGGCCCGAAAAATTGCTTAAGACTCCAGCCACCCAAGCCATAGACCGTTCACTCTGCTACCGTCCGGCAAACGGTACCGGAGCATCGGCTCTCGGACCAACAGGATACGTGATAGCTTCTACCCCCAAGCCATAAGACTGCTAAATAGTCCGGGTACCATTAGTTGACTATCTTACACTGACCCTACACACACTATATATACACACACCATATACACATTCATTCACTCCCACACAAAACCCACACACATTAATAGTTATTGTAGGGTGGCTTATGTCAAACGATCTTTAATAATATATATTTATTAATATTAATAATATAATAATAATAATATATATTAAATAATAATCTTTCACACCTTGTTGATTTATGAGGGGGGCGGGACTTCACACTAGGATGTGAATATCACACCCACAGTTCTGAGTGACCGGGTCTTCACACTAGGCTTTGATACAGTATGTACGTACATAAGAGTTCAAACCATGTTATATGTCCAAATTATCACTGTGGAACATTTTCACACCGCTTAGCACAACAATCAAAACAGATCATCAAAATGGCTCATATTTCAAAACTCTAAGTACATTTTCAATTGACTGAGTACAACAAACAAATCACTCTTTTAATTTGGATACATATTCACTCTGCCGTATCTGCTTTTGAAAATGAAATATTCACTTTATTTTTGATATGATTTTCTTGTCATGTTAACAATACAATTAACTATGACTTAATCAAACTGCTCAAAACTGATACCTACTGAACCAAAATTATGTAGTGACTAGTTAACGTCCCTGTTGAAAAAAACAGCATAGACCAGCAGAGGCTGATGAAATTCGGCTTAGCACCTAAGACCCTCACAAACTTTTACAGATGCACAATTGAGAGCATCCTGTCGGGCTGTATCACCGCCTGGTACGGCAACTGCACCGCCCACAACCGCAGGGCTCTCCAGAGGGTGGTGCGGTCTGCCGAACGCATTATCGGGGGCAAACTACCCGCCCTCCAAGACACATACAACACCCGATGTCACAGGAAGGCCAAAAAGATCATCAAGGACATCAACCACCCGAGCCACTGCCTGTTCACCCCGCTATCATCCAGAAGGTGAGGTCAGTACAGGTGCATCAAAGCTGGGACCGAGAGAATGAAAAACAGCTTCTATCTCAAGGCCATCAGACTGTTAAATAGCCATCACTAGCACATTAGAGGCTGCTGCTGCTGCCTATTGAAATCACTGGCCACTTTAAGAAATTGAACACTAGTCACTTTAATAATGTTTACATATCTTGCACTACTCATCTCATATGTATATACTGCATTCTATTCTATAATATTCTACTGTGTCTTAGTCCATGCCACTCTGTCATTGCTTGTCCGTATATGTATATATTCTTAAATCCCATTCCTTACTAGTTTTGTGTGTATTGGGTATATGTTGTGAAATTGTTAAGATATTACTGCACTGTCGGAGCTAGAAGCACAAGCATTTCGATTTGGTCTGGAGACCAGCCTTCGTTGTGTTTTGAACACATACGCTGGTCACCAGCATACACTGGTCAGCCCGCAAAGCCAACATCAAGTCACATTATGCTGGCTTGCAAAGTGATGTCTAATTCCTATTGGAATCCAGCCTGACTGGGGATATTTAAAAAAATTGCATTTACATTGACTGCCAGGGTTAGAAAGATGAATAAATGCAACTACCTAAACCATCTAAACTGGAACAACCATTTCAGTAACGGGTGCAATAAGTCCAGATTGGATTAGTTTAGAAAAATGTATGCTATTTATCTTTGTGTAGCATGAAAGGTGAATTAAATACAATTGTGTAAAAAACTCGTTTTTTCAACCACTCCACAAATTTCTTGTTAACAAACTATAGTTTTGGCAAGTCAGTTAGGACATCTACTTTGTGCATGACACAAGTAATTTTTCCAACAATTGTTTACAGACAGATTATTTCACTTGGGTCAGAAGTTTACATACACTAAGTTGACTGTGCGTTTAAACAGCTTGGAAAATTCCATAAAATTATGTCATGGCTTTAGAAGCTTCTGATAGGCTAATTGACATCATTTGAGTCAATTGGAGGTGTACCTGTGGATGCATTTCAAGGCCTACCTTCAAACTCAGTGCCTCTTTGCTTGACATCATGGGAAAATCAAAAGAAATCAGCCAAGACCTCAGTAAAAAATTGTAGACCTCCACAAGTCTGGTTCATCCTTGGGAGCAATTTCCAAACGCCTGAAGGTACCACGTTCATCTGTACAAACAATAGTACGCAAGTATAAACACCATGGGACCACGCAGCCGTCATACCGCTCAGGAAGGAGACGCGTTCTGTCTCCTAGAGATTAACGTACTTTGGTGCGAAAAGTGAAAATCAATCCCAGAACAACAGCAAATGACCTTGTGAAGATGCTAGAGGAAACTGGTACAAAAGTATCTATATCCACAGTAAAACAAGTCCTATATCGACATAACCTGAAAGGCCGCTCAGCAAGGAAGAAGCCACTGTTCCAAAACCGCCATAAAAAAGCCAGACAATGGTTTGCAACTACACATGGGGACAAAGATCGTACTTTTTGGAGAAATGTCCTCTGGTCTGATGAAACAAAAATAGAACTGTTTGGCCATAATGACCACCGTTATGTTTGGAGGAAAAAGGGGGACGCTTGAAAGCCGAAGAACACCATCCCAACCGTGAAGCACGGGGGTGGCAGCATCATGCTGTGGGGGTGCTTTGCTGCAGGAGGGACTGGTGCACTTCACAAAATAGATGGCATCATGAGGAAGGAAAATTATGTGGATATATTGAAGTAACATCTCAAGACATCAGTCAGGAAGTTAAAGCTTGGTCGCAAATGGGTCTTCCAAATGGACAAGCCTACTTCCAAAGTTGTGGCAAAATGGCTTAAGGACAACAAAGTAATGTTATTGGATTGGCCATCACAAAGCCCTGACCTCAATCCTATAGAAAATGTGTGGGCAGAACTGAAAAAGCGTGTGCGAGCAAGGAGGCCTACAAACCTGACTCAGTTACACCAGCTCTGTCAGGAGGAATGGGCCAAAATTCACCCAACTTATTGTGGGAGGCTTGTGGAAGGCTACCCGAAACGTTTGACCCAAGTTAAACAATTAAGGCAATGCTACCAAATACTAATTGAGTGTATGTAAACTTCTGACCCACTGGGAATGTGATGAAAGAAATAAAAGCTGAAATAAATCATTCTCTCTACTATTATTCTGACATTTCACATTCTTAAAATAAAGTGGTGATCCTAACTGAACAAAGACAGGGAACTTTTACTAGGATTAAATGCCAGGAATTGTGAAAAACTGAGTTTAAATGTATTTGGCTAAGGTGTATGTAAACTTCCGACTTCAACTGTATTTGACTTCTGAAGGTAATTGGTTGCACCAGATCTTATTTAGGGGCTTCATACCAAAGGGGGTGAATACATATGCACGCACCACTTTCCCATTATTTATTTAGTAGAAATTTTTGAAACAAGTTATTTTTTTCATTTCACTTCACCAATTTGGTCTATTTTGTGTTTGTCCATTACATGAAATCCTAATAGAAATCCATTTAAATTACAGGTTGTAATGCAACAAAATAGGAATAATGCCAAGGGGGGTGAATACTTTTGTAAGGCACTGCATATATGTGGTAGTGGTGGAGTAGGGGCCTAAGGGCACACAGTGTGTTGAGAAATCTGTGAATGTATTGTAATGTTTTTAAAATTGTATAACTTCCTTAATTTTGCTGGAACCCAGGAAGAGTAGCTGCTGCCTTGGCAGCAGCTAATGGGGATCCATAATAAATACAAAAGTCTAGATACTCAAACTTTATTTTCATCTATTTCTTCCCACATCAAACTTGAAAAACAAGAGAGGACAACGGACAATGCTGAGTTTGCCCTGATCAATAATCTGTAATTTAATGGCCAATTTAACAGCCAATTTGATTGAGTATTTTAGTGGGCAATTTTCTTAAACAATCTAACTATAATTATGTTATGCTTTTTTAAATTAGTAAGGGTGATTAAATCTGACTTTGCCATATTTAGATAAATAGGTTCATTTTAACTGGCTAGACTAGATTGGGGATATTGGACTAAACTAGATTAGACTGGACTAGATTTAGAATGCAATAGAATAGATCTTTGGTATCCCTGGAAAATGTGTTTTGCCTTCCAAGTAGCTAACCTATCTGACACCATAAACGAAGAGCAGTGCTCCTGGAGCAGTGTAGGGGTTTAGTGCTCCAAGGCACAACAGACCTGGGATTTCTCTAATAAACTCACCAGATCACCCCCACTCCCAGCCAGCTCCTCAGATGGAGTGAGAGGGCTGGAGGAGGATATTTTCAAAGGCATGCAAAGGCTAATTAGTTATTTATTGGTCCTTGGTTTACACTTGTTGGATCATGTGCGCGTGACAAATAGGTCTAAACTTTGATTTGAGTGTGGGAATGTTTGTGTCCGCCAGGAGGCAGGAAAACATAAAAGTATGGACTGCTAGGTAGTGAGGAGGATCCCCTAAACACAGGAACTGCAGATGTAGGCTATTCTATTTCATGAAGTAAGTAGGCCACTAAGTCCGAGGGATAGGCATCGAAGATTTCTTCATTGAGATAAAGCAGTTCTCTTTTTGATAAAGCTAAACAAATGTGTATATTTGGTTAAATGTATGCCCTAGTCTAGAAATGGATCCTCAGAAGTATTTTCTACATATTGGGTACGCGGGCCCGGCAGTTCCAACGGCGAACCTGGACGCGCTCCAACGTGCACACCGCTGTCACCTGATCTCTGTCCGGTTCGAGAACCTTACCATCCACAGCGGCGGGCGCGTGGGACTTGAACTCCCGCACCTCTATGATAAAAATCGTTAACCACCGCCGCGGAGGGTTCTGCTTCGAGAATAACGGGCTGTTCTCCTGGCTTTTGTCAGAAATGGGATTCGAGGTCACAATCCTAGCGGGACAGGTGATTAACGCCATCACTGGGCGATATGGCCCGCCGTTTGACCACTTAATCTCCATGGTGAAGCTTGAGGGGCACCGGTGGCAGTGTGATGTAGTATTCGGTGGGTCAGGGTTCGAGTTCCCCATTTCCTTAGAGAAGGACGAACCCCAGAAGCAGGGCCACAGAGTGTACAGGATCAGACAGGAGGGTGGGAGAGATGTGCTTTCTGGAGTGGCAAGATGAAGAAAAGAGAGAAACTGGGCTCTGGACTGAGCTATACCAGTTCACTCTGGATACACGACACAGAGAAGACTTCAGAGAAATGTGACTACCAGAGTTCCCCTAGCTCCATCTTCTTCTGTAAGTCGCTTTGCTCCATCCTGAAGCCCAACAGGAGGCTCACCTACATGGGCCACAGACTCATCACCACCCAGTTCCCCTCAGAGGAAGCAGGGAACTAACTAAAACCATCAGAGAGCTGACGGATTCGATGATACCTGACATACTAAAGGAGAAGTTTGGAATCATGCTGGAATCTCCACTTATCCCAAAAGATGAAGCTATCACTTTTTTTTATGTACAATTTTATAACATGACAATCAACAGGACACAAACAAGAGGAAAATTGTCAGTTTGATTTAATAAATACACTTTAAGATGTACAATGGTCATTGCATTAATCCAAGTATTTTACATTTCAGACAACGGAGTCTGCGTCCAAAGTATTTACACATGTACAATTCTCAGGTTGCACTTAACCAAAGCAAGGTATGAACACCACTGAGAGAACGATAGAGGGAGGGAAAACATGAGAAGGGTAGTTTCCAAAAGCGTTGACCTCACACAAACATGACTACTCTGGGATAGGGTTAGGGGGCGGGACAGAGCTGGCTCCCCTAGCCTTGCGTTCATAGTTGACAAGCCGCTGGCCAACCAGGTACCTGCAGGAAGGCAAAGAGGGAACAGAGGAGAAAAGAGTCATGTCAATCACAATACTAGAGCACTTACCTAGTTTGCTTGTGTGTCAGCAGCTGATCAAGACCTTGAATATTTATATCAGGTGTGGTAGTGCTGGGCCGAAACAAAAGCCTGCATATCCTGAAGCTCCCAGGACCAGGGTTGTACTATCCCTGTACAAGGAGCTCTGAATGAACATGCCAGGTATGGAGATAGGGGTGGGTGCTTACTTGTCGTTCTTGATGTGTTCGTAAAGACGTTTGAACTGTCGTATCTGGAAGGAGAGAATGCCGATGATGGACACCACCATCAGGAGGAATGGGTAGATCCTCCTCTGCATCAGAATCTGCATCTCTGGAGTCACACCTGACACACCGGGAGGGGCACAGTGTTATTAGCAGAGTCACACACACACACACACACACACACACACACACACACACACACACACACACACACACACACACACACACAGGTGACTGACCTACGGTAGGTACGACCCCGGCTGCTATGACGTAGGGGACACAGAGGGACAGCAGCAGCACTGAGATGACGGGGGCAGCCAGCTTACGGATGATGAAATGGAGGTCGATGTTCCTGATGCCGTTAGCATACACCTGACAGGAAGAGAGGTGGCAATGTTATCACTCACTGGTGACTTTACACAGTTGCAAAACGTTAAAAGCTTTATTGATCATGTAGGGGGAATGGACATGTCTCATTGTGACTGTAATTGAACCTGTGGAAACCAATGTAAACTGGGCAAACAGTGTGAGATTGAGAATTCAAATTATATTAGGTTAAGGCAGTGTTTTCTTTTTTAGGAACTCAGTCCAGCTTTCAACTTACTCTTGAAAATTGTAAAATGGTAGAATGCACAAGGTGCAATTTCAAAATTGGGTAGTGCATCATCAGTTTTCCTCGTCATGTCAGTCACTGCATACGTTAGAGAGATATTTATAACTTGTCAGAAAAGTCCAGATCAACTAGCCCATGTCAGCTAATGTTTTTTAGCTAGGTTATTTAGCCTATAGATTTTGATGTAATGTTTGAGTCACTCAAATATCACATGAATACACATTAGACATGGCAAAATGTATAGAACTGGAAGAACATTTTATTTAAAACAGCTAAATGTTCTCTGTACCCCATGACAGAATGTGTAGAATTGCAGTAAATAAACTTTTTCTCTACCAACAAGAGCGGTGTGAACAGTTTGTGTCATGAACAGTGCTTGTGCCCATAGAAATAGATGTGGCGCGCGCAGGGGGGGGGGGGGGGGGGGGGGGGGGGGGGGGGGCGCGGGATGTTCTCCAATGCTGGAAGGGTGTCTGAGTTTAAAAGTTTGGGAACCCCTGGGTTAAGGGATAATGACGTGGTGTAAGGTAACACACCTGTTCTATGACAGACTTCAGCCACCACTGGGGACCCATGAGGGTGATGGCAGCAATGATTTTGGCATGGAGTACCCCCAGGGCCCAGTCCTACACACACACAGATGGACACAAGGTACCTTACTGTTTAAAATACAGTGATCTTTACTATTACATTCTTGCTCTCTCACACAGTCAGTACCTGCCAGGGGTAGAAGAGAGGTGTCTGGTCCAGAGGAACGCGTAGCGGAGCAACGATGACCAGCTCAAACAGCAGGCCCAGCAGTAGAGGGATAACACCTGCCACCAGCAACGCTACTACCAGGGTCTTCAGGATCTATACAAACACACATAGACACACAAAATTAAAAGGCAAGAGATGATCGGATGTTGAAATATTACATAAATATCTTGGCATGGACACCTTGGCCTTGGACATACAGCCACCTAAAGGTATCCATCCAGCCACCTTCATAACTAGTACAGCCTACTATACATTTGTCCACATACAGTTCCAGCAGAGAGTAGGTCTTACCATGAGGGTCCACTCCTGGACTTTGATCATGATGATGGTGCGTCCCTGGGGCATCCAAGCCAACAGCACGGTGGCACCGCGGATGGACAGCCAGCACACGTACAGACCACACGCTGCTGTATACAGCTCATGGATCTTAGCGCTACCCGTCCAGAACGACATCAGCCAACGGCCCACAAACACTACAACACACAGATGGGCTTTAGGTACCTATGAAACAGATTTATACCTATCATGTAATTCTTTCTTCTAGAAAAAAGGTATACAATACATTTCCTAAAGATGGAGATTAATCAAATTATACTAATTTTATTTAAAATTAAGAAACATGTTAAGTGTGGCATGTAGCCTAGTGGTTAGGTGCGTTGGGCCATTAACCGAAAGGTCGCTGGTTTGAATCCCCAAGCCGACAAGGTGAAACATCTGTCGATGTGCCCCTGAGCAAGACACTTAACCCTAATTGCTCCTTTAAGTCGATTTGTATGCAAAAAATGTTTAAAAAAAATAGACAATGAAATGGAGCATGTCCATGACCATGTCTCACCTGGTAACGTCAAACACACCAGGCTGGCCACCAGCAGAGTGACACACATAAAGCCTATCAGCAAGACAATCTACAGACAGGAGGAGAGAGACATATTATAGGGGGTGACTTATCCTGAAGTGGTAGGGCTGGAAGCCTATAGGTCCACCTGCTGTAATGTGTAGTGTAACTCACCCTGTTGGTGGAGTGTATAGGGGTTAAGTGTGTAGTGTAACTCACCCTGAAGGGGAAGCGTAGAGGGCGTTGGTAGGGTTGGAAGCCTATAGGTCCACCTTGCTGTAATATGGCCTGATGGGCTGCATGAAGCCCCTCACCCACAACAGGGGCAGGGTTGTTGTTGTTGTTGACAGGCTGGTTGGCCTCATTCTCTTCCTGTTCACCCAGCAGGTAAGAGTGGAGGTCTCTTGAGGAGTGGGGTAGGAGTGGGGGGGGGGGGGGGTAGGAGTACAGTAGAGGGAGAGGAGGAGAGGGGTAGGAGATGGGTAGGAGTGGGAGAGGAGGAGAGTGTTGGAGTGGGGGGAGGCGGACAGGAGAGTGGGAGGAGGAAGAGGGGAAGGATGTAGAGAGAGTTAATAAATATATACATTGATGGAAAAAAGTATTTGATCCCCTGCTGATTTTGTACGTTTGCCCACTGACAAAGATATGATCAGTCTATAATTTTAATGGTTGGTTTATTTGAACAGAGAGAGACAGAATAACAACAAAAAAATCCAGAAAAACGCATGTAAAAAATCTACTTCATTGATTTGCATTTTAATGAGGGAAATAAGTATTTGACCCCCTCTCAATCAGAAAGATTTCTGGCTCCCAGGTGTCTTTTATACAGGTAACGAGCTGAGATTAGGAGCACACTCTTAAAGGGAGTGCTCCTAATCTCAGCTTGTTACCTGTATAAAAGACAACTGTCCACAGAAGCAATCAATCAGATTCCAAACTCCCCACCATGGCCAAGACCAAAGAGCTCTCCAAGGATGTCAGGGACAAGATTGTAGACCTACACAAGGCTGAAATGGGCTACAAGACCATCGCCAAGCAGCTTGGTGAGAAGGTGACAACAGTTGGTGCGATTATTCGCAAATGGAAGAAACACAAAATAACTCCCTCAGGATCTCCCTCAGCCTGGGGCTCCATGCAAGATCTCACCTCGTGGAGTTGCAATGATCATGAGAACGGTGAGGAATCAGCCCAGAACTACACGGGAGGATCTTGTCAATGATCTCAAGGCAGCTGGGACCATAGTCACCAAGAAAACAATTGGTAACACACTACGCCGTGAAGGACTGAAATCCTGCAGCGCCCGCAAGGTCCCCCTGCTCAAGAAAGCACAAATACATGCCCATCTGAAGTTTGCCAATGAACATCTGAATGATTCAGAGGAGAACTGAGTGAAAGTGTTGTGGTCAGATGAGACCAAAATGGAGCTCTATGGCATCAACTCAACTCACCGTGTTTGGAGGAGGAATGCTGTCTATGACCCCAAGAACACCATCCCCACCGTTAAACATGGAGGTGGAAACATTATGCTTTGGGGGTGTTTTTCTGCTAAGGGGACAGGACAACTTCACCGCATCAAAGGGACGATGGACGGGGCCATGTACCGTCAAATCTTGGGTGAGAACCTCCTTCCCTCAGCCAGGGCATTGAAAATGGGTCGTGGATGGGTATTCCAGCATGACAATGACCCAAAACACACGGCCAAGGCAACAAAGGAGTGGCTCAAGAAGAAGCACATTAAGGTCCTGGAGTGGCCTAGCCAGTCTCCAGACCTTAATCCCATAGAAAACCTGTGGAGGGAACTGAAGGTTCGAGTTGCCAAACGTCAGCCTCGAAACCTTAATGACTTGGAGAAGATCTGCAAAGAGGAGTGGGACAAAATCCCTCCTGAGATGTGTGCAAACCTGGTGGCCAACTACAAGAAACGTCTGACCTCTGTGATTGCCAACAAGGGTTTTGCCACCAAGTACTAAGTCATGTTTTGCAGAGGGGTCAAATACTTATTTCCCTAATTAAAATGAAATCAATTTATAACATTTTTGACACGTTGTTTTTGATTTTTTTGTTGTTATTCTGTCTCTCACTGTTCAAATAAACCTACCATTAAAATTATAGACTGATCATTTCTTTGTCAGTGGGCAAACGTACAAAATGAGCAGGGGATCAAATACTTTTTTCCCCTCACTGTAGTTCATGTTATGGATTGTAGCTATAATGAGAAAGCCCTTTGGGGGTGTGTGTATAAGTGTGAATAAGCAGTGCAGGGATCATCAACTAGATTCAGCCGTGGTCCGATTCTTTCTTGAGCGGATGGTCAGGGGGCCAGAACATAATTCAAAATAATCTGTAGACTGCAAATTGCCTGCAAGAAGCCCAAACTGATATAATATTTCACTAAAACGATCACATATATCTCTCTCTATTATGCGTTGGATTACTTTAGAACAGGTATCCTAAATTAAAATCACTTGGAGCTGATTCGCTGGTGTTTTTACAGTCTTTTACAGTGGGGGAAAAAAGTATTTAGTCAGCCACCAATTGTGCAAGTTCTCCCACTTAAAAAGATGAGAGAGGCCTGTAATTTTCATCATAGGTAAACATAAACTATTACAGACAAATTGAGAAAAACAAATCCAGAAAATCACATTGTAGGATTTTTAATGAATTTATTAGCAAATTATGGTGGAAAAGAAGTATTTGGTCAATAACAAATGTTTCTCAATACTTTGTTATATACCCTTTGTTGGCAATGACACAGGTCAAACATTTTCTGTAAGTCTTCACACGGACTTTCAACTGCCTCCAAAGATTTTCTATGGGGTTGAGATCTGGAGACTGGCTGGGCCACTCCAGGACCTTGAAATGCTTCTTACGAAGCCACTCCTTCGTTGCCCGGGCGGTGTGTTTGGGATCATTGTCATGCTGAAAGACCCAGCCACGTTTCATCTTCAATGCCCTTGCTGATGGAAGGAGGTTTTCACTCAAAATCTCACGATACATGGCCCCATTCATTCTTTCCTTTACACGGATCAGTCGTCCTGGTCCCTTTGCAGAAAACCAGCCCCAAAGCATGATGTTTCCACCCCCATGCTTCACAGTAGGTATGGTGTTCTTTGGATGCAACTCAGCATTCTTTGTCCTCCAAACACGACGAGTTGAGTTTTTACCAAAAAGTTCTATTTTGGTTTCATCTGACCATATGACATTCTCCCAATCCTCTTCTGGATCATCCAAATGCACTCTAGCAAACTTCAGACGGGCCTGGACATGTACTGGCTTAAGCAGGGGGACACGTCTGGCACTGCAGGATTTGAGTCCCTGGCAGCGTAGTGTGTTACTGATGGTAGGCTTTGTTACTTTGGTCCCAGCTCTCTGCAGGTCATTCACTAGGTCCCCCCGTGTGGTTCTGGGATTTTTGCTCACCGTTCTTGTGATCATTTTGACCCCATGGGGTGAGATCTTGCGTGGAGCCCCAGATCGAGGGAGATTATCAGTGGTCTTGTATGTCTTCCATTTCCTAATACTTGCTCCCACAGTTGATTTCTTCAAACCAAGCTGCTTACCTATTGCAGATTCAGTCTTCCCAGCCTGGTGCAGGTCTACAATTTTGTTTCTGGTGTCCTTTGACAGCTCTTTGGTCTTGGCCATAGTGGAGTTTGGAGTGTGACTGTTTGAGGTTGCGGACAGGTGTCTTTTATACTGATAACAAGTTCAAACAGGTGCCATTAATACAGGTAACGAGTGGAGGACAGAGGAGCCTCTTAAAGAAGAAGTTACAGGTCTGTGAGAGCCAGAAATCTTGCTTGTTTGTAGGTGACCAAATACTTATTTTCCACCATAATTTGCAAATAAATTCATTAAAAATCCTACAATGTGATTTTCTGGGAAAAAAAATCTCAATTTGTCTGTCATAGTTGACGTGTACCTATGATGAAAATTACAGGCCTCTCTCATCTTTTTAAGTGGGAGAACTTGCACAATTGGTGGCTGACTAAATACTTTTTTCCCCCACTGTATGTCCCAAAAAAAAAATATATATATATGTACACACACACTGCTCAAAAAAATTAAGGGAACACTTAAACAACACAATGTAACTCCAAGTCAATCACACTTCTGTGAAATCAAACTGTCCACTTAGGAAGCAACACTGATTGACAATACATTTCACATGCTGTTGTGCAAATGGAATAGACAACAGGAGGAAATTATAGGCAATTAGCAAGACACCCCCAATAAAGGACTGGTTTTGCAGTTGGTGACCACAGACCACTTCTCAGTTCCTATGCTTCCTGGCTGATGTTTTGGTCACTTTTGAATGCTGGTGGTGCTTTCACTCTAGTGGTAGCATGAGACAGAGTCTACAACCCACACAAGTGGCTCAGGTAGTGCAGCTCATCCAGGATGGCACATCAATGCGAGCTGTGGCAAGAAGGTTTGCTGTGTCTGTCAGCGTAGTGTCCAGAGCATGGAGGCGCTACCAGGAGACAGGCCAGTACATCAGGAGACGTGGAGGAGGCCGTAGGAGGGCAACAACCTAGCAGCAGGACTGCTACCTCCGCCTTTGTGCAAGGAGGAGCAGGAGGAGCACTGCCAGAGCCCTGCAAAATGACCTCCAGCAGGTTACAAATGTGCATGTGTCTGCTCAAACGGTCAGAAACAGACTCCATGAGGGTGGTATGAGGGCCCGACGTCCACAGGTGGGGGTTGTGCTTACAGCCCAACACCGTGCAGGACGTTTGGCATTTGCCAGAGAACACCAAGATTGGCAAATTCGCCACTGGCGCCCTGTGCTCTTCACAGATGAAAGCAGGTTCACACTGAGCACGTGACAGACGTGACAGAGTCTGGAGATGCCGTGGAGAACGTTCTGCTGCCTGCAACATCTTCCAGCATGAACGGTTTGGCGTGGGTCAGTCATGGTGTGGGGTGGCATTTCTTTGGGGGGGCCGCACAGCCCACCATGTGCTCGCCAGAGGTAGCCTGACTGCCATTAGGTACCGAGATGAGATCCTCAGACCCCTTGTGAGACCATATGCTGGTGCGGTTGGCCCTGGGTTCCTCCTAATGCAAGACAATGCTAGACCTCATGTGGCTGGAGTGTGTCAGCAGTTCCTGCAAGAGGAAGGCATTGATGATATGGACTGGCCCGCCCGTTCCTCAGACCTGAATCCAATTGAGCACATCTGGGACATCATGTCTCGCTCCATCCACCAACGCCACGTTGCACCACAGACTGTCCAGGAGTTGGCAGATGCTTTAGTCCAGGTCTGGGAGGAGATCCCTCAGGAGACCATCCGCCACCTCATCAGGAGCATGCCCAGGTGTTGTAGGGAGGTCATACAGGCACGTGGAGGCCACACACACTACTGAGCCTCATTTTGACTTGTTTTAAGGACATTACATCAAAGTTGGATCAGCCTGTAGTGTGGTTTTCCACTTTAATTTTGAGGGTGACTCCAAATCCAGACCTCCATGGGTTGATACATTTGATTTCCATTGATAATTTGTGTGTGATTTTGTTGTCAGCACATTTAACTATGTAAAGAAAAAAGTATTTAATAAGTTTATTTCATTCATTCAGATCTAGGATGTGTTATTTTAGTGTTCCCTTTATTTTTTTGAGCAGTGTATATATATATTTTTTTTACAATGATGTAAAATCACCGCCAGTTGGGGAACCCTGAAGTAGTGTCTAAGTGTGTATAAGTTTGTATAGGAGCATGTATAGACTTACAGTAGGTATCCAGCGATAACAGTCCAGGTCCTGACCAGACCTTTGAGCCACTGGCGTGTGTGACCCTGCTCTAGGAGAGCTGGCAGAACCACCTGCAGCAGCAACAGCTCCAGAGACAGCTCACTGACTGGGGCATCACTGGAGATGAGAGGAGAGGAGGAGGATAGAGGAGGGGGGAGGAGAGGAGACCGGAGGGTGTTAGGAAACACTTGCATCCAAATATAACACTTATACACACTGCAGCTCTCCAGGACCAGGGTTGGCAACCACTGCTGGCCACAGTTGAGTCATGTGGGTGTACCTGTAGAGGAGGACGTTGTATGGGAGGAAGGCAGGGAGGAAGAGCTTCATCATCCTGATGGGCAGCCACAGCATCAGGAGGACGATAGAACCAAACACCACCTAGGAGGACGAGAGGAGAGATCATACACCTTCAATAATCAGCACACAAAGCAGAGCCCTAGCTGCATGTAACTACTCTTTAGGAACAATGTAGGGAATTTAGTGTTCACCAAGTGCTCAATGTATCGTACCACAGACAGGATGAACCTGCGGAGGTGTCTGTAGATGTACGTACCACAGACAGGATGAACCTGCAGAGGTGTCTGTAGATGTACGTACCACAGACAGGATGAACCTGCAGAGGTGTCTGTAGATGTACGTACCACAGACAGGATGAACCTGCGGAGGTGTCTGTAGATGTACGTACCACAGACAGGATGAACCTGCGGATGTGTCTGTAGATGGGTAGGTGGATCATCTCCTGGACTGGGTTGAAGTCTGGATCGTTCAGGTTTCTCAGAAACCACAGGACCCCAGGCCTCAGCACCTGACCCAATACAGCACCACATCAACACACTATAACAAAGCAGCCAATGAGAATGTCTGAAATGTCACCCTATTCCCTATATAGTGTACTACTTGTTTTTTAAATAATACATGTTTTAGGGGGTTTATGTATTTTATTAAGATAGGATAGTGAAGAGGAGACAGGAAAGGTAGGAGAGTTTGCGAGTTAGAAGAACAAGGGTAGAATTCTAACCCATGCCGACTCTGTTAGCACTAGGCTGTACATGTGCCAGGATCCGCAGCACTAACCCTATGGGCCCTGGTCAAACGTACTGAACAATAAAGGGAAGTGAGTGTCATTTGGGTGGTCGCCCTGTTCCCTACCTCTCTCAGTAGGAGGATAAAGGATGCAAAGTAGAAGACGTAGACCATTCCCACCAGCCAGTGGAGGAACATGGTGGTGCCTGGAGCAGACTTAAAACTCAGCTCTCTGTCCTTTAGAGACGCATCAAACATCTCCTGCAGAACGGATGGAAGAAATACATGTTTTTATTTAAGAAAGCAGGTAGGAGCGATTGAGTGATAAAAAGGGAGAGAGATGGAGAGAGACAGGGGGGAGAGAGATGGAGAGAGACGGGGAGGAGAGAGACGGGGAGGAGAGAGATGGAGAGAGAGAAATGGAGAGACAGGGCAGGGGGGAGGAGATGGAGAGAGGGGAGAGAGAGATGAGAGATTGAGCGAGAAGAGAGAGAGGGGGGAGAGGAGAGATGGGAGATGGGGGATAGAGGGGGGGGGGGATTTGGAGAGAGAGAGAGGGGTGAGAGAGAGAGAGGGGGGAGAGAGAGAGAGTGAGGGGATGAGGAGGGAGAGAGATGAGAGAGGGGGGGAGGATGAGAGAGGCAAGAGAGAGAGGGGGTAGAAGATGGAGAGAAGGGGGGAGAGAGATGGAGAGACCGAGGGAGGAGGAGACAGAGGAGAGAGAGGGGGGAGAAGCGAGGATGAGAGAGACGGGGGGAAGGAGAGAGGGGGGAGAGATGGAGGAGAACGGGGGAGAGAGAGAGAGAGAGGAGGAAGGAGAGAGAGAAAGGGGGGGAGAGATGAGAGAGCGGGAGGAGAGGATGGAGAGAAAGGGGGGAGAGATGGAGGAGAGAGGTGGAGGGAGGATGGAGAGGAGCACAGGGGGGAGAGAGATGAAGAGAGAGGGGAGAGAGAGATGGAGACGAGAGGGAGGAGGAGAGGAGAGGAGAGGGTGGAGAGAGGAAGGGGGGAGAGAGATGGAGAGAGAGAGGGGGAGGAGAGATGGGAGAGAGAGGGGGGAGAGAGATGGAGAGGAGGGAATGGGGAGGTGGGAGAGATGGGAGAGACGGGGGAGAGAGAGAGTGAGAGAGACGGGGGGGAGTGAGAAGGGGGAGAGAGAAGGGAGAGAGCAGAGGGAGGGGAAGAGGAGAGAGAGGAGGGGAGGATGAGAGATGGAGAGAGAGGGGGAGAGAGAGAAGGGGAGAGAGGGGAGGGAAGGAGAGAGATGGGGAGAGAGAGAGGAGAGAATGGGGAGAGAGAGATGGAGAGAGAAGGGGGGGAGAGAGAGTCGGAGGAGAGAGGAAAGGGGGAGGAGAGAGAAAGGGGGAGGAGAGGAGACAGAGGGGGAGAGAGATGGAGAGAGGGGGGGAGAGAGAGAGAGGGAGAGGGAGGGGGAGAGAGAGAGGAGACGAGAGGGGGAGAGAGAAGGGGGGAGAGATGAGAGAGGAGAGAGAGAGATGGAGGAGTGAGGAGGAGAGAGAGGGGAGGAGAGAGAGGAGAGAGAAGGGGAGGAGAGGAGGGAGACAGAGAGAGAGGGGGGAGAGGATGGAGAGAGACGGGAGAGAGAGGACGAGAGAGAAGAGGGGAGGAGGAGAGAGACAGGGGAGAGAGAGAGGGATGGAGAGAGACGAGGGGGAGAGAGAGATGGGAGAGAGACGGGGGGAGAGAGAGAGAGGGGGGAGAGAGAAGAGGGGGGAGGAGGAGAAAATGAGGGGGAGAGAGAGGAGAGAGAGAAGGGGGGGGAGCGAGAGAGGGGGGAGAGGAGAGAGGGGGGAGAGAGAGTGGGAGAGAGAGGGGGGAGAGAGGAGAGAGGGGGAGGGGGAGAGAGAGAGGGAGAGAGAGGGGGGAGAGAAAGAGAGAAAGGGGAGAGAGACAGAGAGAGACGGGGGAGAGAGGGAGAGAGACGGGGGGGAGAGAGACGGGGGGAGAGAGACAGGGGGAGAGAGACAGGGGAGAGAGACAGGGGGGAGAGAGACAGGGGGGAGAGAGACAGGGGGGAGAGAGACAGGGGGGAGAGAGACAGGGGGAGAGAGACAGGGGGAGAGAGACAGGGGGGAGAGAGACAGAGGGAGAGAGATGGAGAGAGACAGAGAGAGACAGGGGGAGAGAGACAGAGAGAGACAGGGGGAGAGAGATGGAGAGAGACGGGGGGAGAGAGACCGGGGGAGAGAGAGGGGGAAGAGATAGAGGGATTAGAAAGAAAGAGGTATGTCTAAGTACTAAAGAGCAGATGTCGAGCCACCAGCCACAGATGAGGGGGAAAACTCCTATCTCCACGATGACCAGCAAAGAGACCTGGAAAACACACCAAGTTAAACACACACATGACAACAGGGACTATGCAGGAAAACTCAGGCAATTCATAAATCATGCATTGATGTCAAAGGGAGATTTACATTAAAAAGTTGAGCTACATCCTTCATTTAGTTTTCCTCTTCAAGTCAAGTCGTTCTACACGGAGTGTACAAAACATTAAGAACACCTTCCTAATATTGAATTGCACCCCTTTTGCCCTCAGAACAGCCTCAATTCATCAGGGCATGGACTCTACAAGGTATTGAAAGCGTTCCACAGGGATGCTGGCCCATATTCACTCCAATGCTTCCCACAGTTGTGTCAAGTTGTCTGGATGTCCTTTGGGTGGTGGACCATTCTTGATAAACATGGGAACCTGTTGAGCGTGGAAAAACCCAGCAGCGTTGCAGTTCTGGACACTAGCTGGTTTGCCCATTCACCCTCTGAATGGCACACATACACAATCAATGTCTCAAGGCTTAAAAATCATTCTTCAAACTGTCTCCTCCCCTCCACACTGACTGAAGTGGATTTAACAGGATCATAGCTTTCACCTGGTCAGTCTGTCATAGAAAGAGCAGGTGTTCCTAATGTTTTGTACACTCAGTGTATATTTCAGAGAGGGATTTACAGTAATACATTTAAAGCCAACATTTAAAACCGAAATTTTACCTTGACAACGATATAGCAGACCCCTAGTAGACGGCGGGACCTCTGGAACCTGACGAGAGCAGCGAATCCCTGAGAGACACCATTTAAGGACAAACACCGAGGTTGACACGGGAACAGGAGTGAAATTCTAGTCAAGTTCGGGACAGGATCAACAGTCCCTACCCCTCCTCCCAACAGTAAGACACCTTCTTCAGTCTTCAAATCACTATTTAAAACATTCTAATAGGCCTTTATCTGGACAGGCAAGGAAAAGTAGCTAGCTAACAGTTCTCTTTTACATTTCTTGAGCACTGCACACCCAGCCAAAAATGGGGCCTTTGCTATGGAAACTCACACGCAGGACGAGCAGCTAATGGAGGAAGTTATTTCTGATTTCTGCTCGTTAAAATTAGCACGGGACAGGAGTGCTTTTTAAATCGGGACAGGACAGGAAAGTTGTCGGGGTTATACAACTGTGGTGGGATCGGGAAAGTACAAGAAAAAAGATTACAGGACAAGACAGGAATATATTTTCACTCCCGTGCCAACCTCTAAAACACATACTTGTATACACAAAAACAATGGAAAGATCTCCATGGAAACACTGCATGGTCACAGGAAGTGATCCCCATCAGTAGACGGAAGGATACGTGACAGAGGATGAGTGTCACGGCCAGCAGGATGTACCCCACGATGGTCATGATCAGGCCCTCGAAATGGGAAGCTTGAACCTAGAGAAGACACACATATTCAATATAATTCTGTGGTGGCACAATTTGGGGTGAGCTGTTGTAACTTCAAGGGATATGTTCTGTGTTGGACTGTGATTTTTTTGCCTTTCATAGACTCCTGGTATGTCTGCACAATAACACAAGGCCATTGTGTTCTAGAACGGTTGCTTGTATAAAATAACCGTAGTGTAAACAATATGATTGTATTGTCACCTCTCACTATACAGTGGGGGGAAAAAGTATTTAGTCAGCCACCAATTGTGCAAGTTCTCCCACTTAAAAAGATGAGGCCTGTAATTTTCATCACAGGTACACGTCAACTATGACAGACAAAATGAGAAAAATAAATCCAGAAAATCACATTTTAGGATTTTTTTTGAATTTATTAGCAAATTATGGTGGAAAATAAGTATTTGGTCAATAACAAAAGTTTCTCAATACTTTGTTAAATACCCTTTGTTGGCAATGACACAGGTCAAACGTTTTCTGTAAGTCTTCACAAGGTTTTCACACACTGTTGCTGGTATTTTGGCCCATTCCTCCATGCAGATCTCCTCTAGAGCAGTGATGTTTTGGGGCTGTCGCTGGGCAACACGGTCTTTCAACTCCCTCCAAAGATTTTCTATGGGGTTGAGATCTGGAGACTGGCTAGGCCACTCCAGGACCTTGAAATGCTTCTTACGAAGCCACTCCTTCGTTGCCCGGGCGGTTGTGTTTGGGATCATTGTCATGCTGAAAGACCCAGCCACGTTTCATCTTCAATGCCCTTGCTGATGGAAGGAGGTTTTCACTCAAAATCTCACGATACATGGCCCCATTCATTCTTTCCTTTACACGGATCAGTCGTCCTGGTCCCTTTGCAGAAAAACAGCCCCAAAGCATGATGTTTCCACCCCCATGCTTCACAGTAGGTATGGTGTTCTTTGGATGCAACTCAGCATTCTTTGTCCTCCAAACACGACGAGTTGAGTTTTTACCAAAAAGTTCTATTTTGGTTTCATCTGACCATATGACATTCTCCCAATCCTCTTCTGGATCATCCAAATGCACTCTAGCAAACTTCAGACGGGCCTGGACATGTACTGGCTTAAGCAGGGGGACACGTCTGGCACTGCAGGATTTGAGTCCCTGGCGGCATAGTGTGTTACTGATGGTAGGCTTTGTTACTTTGGTCCCAGCTCTCTGCAGGTCATTCACTAGGTCCCCCCGTGTGGTTCTGGGATTTTTGCTCACCGTTCTTGTGATCATTTTGACCCCATGGGGTGAGATCTTGCTTGAAGCCCCAGATCGAGGGAGATTATCAGTGGTCTCGTATGTCTTCCATTTCCTAATAATTGCTCCCACAGTTGATTTCTTCAAACCAAGCTGCTTACCTATTGCAGATTCAGTCTTCCCAGCCTGGTGCAGGTCTACAATTTTGTTTCTGGTGTCCTTTGACAGCTCTTTGGTCTTGGCCATAGTGGAGTTTGGAGTGTGACTTTTTGAGGTTGTGGACAGGTGTCTTTTATACTGATAACAAGTTCAAACAGGTGCCATTAATACAGGTAACGAGTGGAGGACAGAGGAGCCTCTTAAAGAAGAAGTTACAGGTCTGTGAGAGCCAGAAATCTTGCTTGTTTGTAGGTGACCAAATACTTATTTTCCACCATAATTTGCAAATAAATTCATAAAAAATCCTATGTGATTTTCTGGATTTTTTTTCTCAATTTGTCTGTCATAGTTGACATGTACCTATGATGAAAATTACAGGCCTCTCTCATCTTTTTAAGTGGGAGAACTTGCAATTGGTGACTGACTAAATACTTTTTTCCCCCACTGTATAAGGGGCATGTAACCATTTACCCTTTGAGTTTTTCCCTGTTAAATCAGAGATCTCCCTTGGAGCTGCTTGATTAAAGATTTTTCTATTATACAATTAAATAGTCTCTGCCTTAATCTTGGGATCTAATTTTCCACAACAATTCCATATCATGATTACTCTACGTTTTGTAAGAAAGGCAGGCGAGGTATGATTAAAACTGCTGCTTACATATTCCTCAAAGCCAAGTCCCACGACAGAGAAGTGACCAATGTGGTATGGACAGAATGCTGGAAGAGAGAACAAGAAGATTCATCAAAGCTCCCAGGCTTATACCAAGCCCTACCACCGTAGCAGGCTAGTTCGTTTTCAGAAGGGTACTACGTTAGAAGGAGTTTGTGTAAGTTAGTGTACTTACCAAACACCAGGATGAAGAGAGTGTTCAGAGACACAACCCAGAACACATGCTCCTGGAAGACGACACACAACGCAAAATGTCACCTCACTACTTTCTAGTGCTACTGCTTAAAAAACAGACAACCCCTTCACTGCAATAATACCGCATCTTAAGTGTATTACTACTCTATACCAGGTGTGTTAATGATACCATATACCAGGTGTGTTAATAATACTCTATACAAGGTGTATTAATAATACCACATACCAGGTGTGTCATTAATACCCCACACCAGGTGTGTCAATAATACACCATACCAGGTGTGTCATTAATACCCCATACCAGGTGTGTCAATAATACACCATACCAGGTGTGTTAATAATAACCCATACCGGGTGTGTTAATAATAACCCATACCGGGTGTGTTAATCATGCCCCATACCAGGTGTGTCATTAATACCCCATACCAGGTGTGTCAATAATACCCCACACCAGGTGTGTCAATAATACACCATACCGGGTGTGTTAATCATGCCCCATACCAGGTGTGTTAATAATACCCTATACAATGTGTGTAATTAATACCCTATAGCAGGTGTCAACACTCTATGCCAGGTGTGTTAATAATACTCTATGCCTGGTGTGTAAATAAATACTTACTAAGAACACCAAGGAGCCATCCAGTCCAAGCATCTGGGAGGTAGAGTGAGACATTACAAGGTGGTCGATATAGTCATGGATAGTGTTGTGTCATGAAGTTGAGTCACGACAGATGTGTTGGAGATTGCTGAAACTAAACCAGTCTTACCCTCTCCCAGGTGAGCTCCTCTGCTGCTCTGTCCCATTCTAGAGCATTCCAGTTCATATCATCTACACACACAGAGAGAGACAGAGAGAGAGATTGATAGAGAGAGACATCATGTTATAGAACTTAGTATTGCCGTTGCCATATGTTACCTATCAGCTGAGGGCTGGCCCTAGTCTCCTACCTTGAGCTCCGTTGTTGGCTTCCGCATCTTCACCCGCTGCCCCCTCTTCCTCATTGTTTGGTTCTGGCTCCTCCCCCTGTTCTGGGAGGCCGTCTGGGGGTTCTGGCTCTGCCTCGTTGTGAGCTGGGGGGGCGGCGGGTGCAGGGGGGGCTGCAGGGGGGGCATCAGCTGCTCCCTGACCTACACCTGCAGCCTGGGGGAGGAATGTGGATGCAGGGGCTGTAAGTGTGCGTGTGTGTACGTGTTACCTTGTGTGTGTGTGTGTGTGTGTGTGTGTGTGTGTTACCTCATTGGGCTGCTGTCCAGCTGCGTTGGGCTGGGGCTGCTGATGGTGCTCCAGCCACAGGGGGGGGCCACCATGGACGATCTGCTCTCTAAGCCACACCAGGCTGATGAACGCACACAGTGTACACGTCACTACGAAACAGCCCTGTAGACAGTCCGCCAGCAGGTTCTCTCTACAAGGAGGGGGAGGAGAGAGAGAGATGTGATTAAAAAATGCACTCACATCTGAGTTCTTGTTGTAGGTGGGTAGGAATAATGCGAAAATATCAAAAAGCCCTGAGAGCTTAAACAAGTGATACCAGCAAGAGCAGTGTGCAAGTTTTTCTTTGATGACCTACAATACTGGAAATGGAGAATACATCTCATATGAGGAGTGGGTGAGGAGTTACAGAGTCTGAATGGCGAACGAGGAGGATATGACATCAGAACTCACGTGGAAAGCATGTCCAATGGCAGCGTCAGGAGCGAGCTCACGGAGCCGGTAAACAGACACTTGTAGATTCGACCTGAAGAGAAGAGGGAGACAGAGAGGAGCTATGGACATCATCTCACCATTGGAAGACACACTGAAGAGAGATGTACATAAATTACCACAATCCAGTCTTGGTTAGGAGCAAAGTTCCCTCTTAGAATCATTTGAACACATGAAACATTAACTGACGGGCCTCCCGAGTGGTGCAGCGGTCTAAGGCACTGCATCACAGTGCTAGAGGCGTCACTACAGATCCGGGTTCGATCCCGGGCTGTGTCGCAGCCGCCCGCAAACCGGGAGACCCCTGAGGCGGTGCACAATTGGCCCAGCGTCGTCCAGGTTAGGGGAGGGTTGGGCCAGCTGTGATATCCTTGTCCCATCGTGCTCTAGCGACTCCTTGTGGCGGCCGGGCACATACACGCTGACTTCGGTCACCAGCTGTACGGTGTTTCCTCCGACACATTGGTGCGGCTGGCTTCCAGGTTAAGCGAGCAGTGTGTCAAGAAGCAGTGCGGCTTGGCAGGGTCGTGTTTCGGAGGACACATGGCTCTCGACCATCGCCTCTCCCGAGTCCGTACGGGAGTTGCAGCAATGGGACAAAACTACCTACCAATTGGATATCACGAAATTGTGGAGAAAAAGGGGTAAAAAAATAAAATCCTTCACTGACAACTGAAGCCAAATGTGTTTAGGCGGGGGCAGCCTAAATAATTGTATGGGAAACCCTGATATTGTAACCCTGTATGTTTTCCTCACAGTCCTAATAGAGTGGATAGTGTACAAATTGGTGTATGTGTGTTCGTGGGAGAGATAGAGAGTGGTGTGTGTGTCTGTTAACTGAGGAGTAAAGAAGGTTTCATGCAGTGTTTTCCTCTTACTGTCACAATGACATGCAGATCATTATGCATGTATATCACAGGAGGTTGGTGGCACCTTAATTGGGGAGGACATGCTTGTGGTAATGGCTGGAGCAGAATGGTATCAAACACATGGTTTCTATGTGTTTGATGCCATTCCATTTGTCCCGTTCCAGACGCTATTATGAGCCGTCCTCCCTTCAGCAGCCTCCACCGATGTATATTCCTTCCTCCCATTCCTCCAGCCAAATCACAGGTAGGAGCAAAATCAGCCATTCTATGCAGTATTCTACTATACACTGAACAGTGTGAAGTTCAATTCAATGTGTTGAATTGACTAGAAGTGTGAATTTCAATGACAGGTTTTTTGGAGAACGTTTAGAAAACGTGAACAAGCATCCAGGGGACAGGGCGAACAGAATGCTAGGCCACAGATTATTTTCCACCGCGGTATCGCGATACTACTCGGTATTGTGATACTTAGCCTGGCATCATATCGTTTGTTACATTTTTGTATCATGACAAGCTTGGTACAAATAATCAAACACACCAGTGGAATTTACCGAACTGGGAAATGACAACAGATTGTAATACAAATGACATTTTATTTGTCACATGCGCCGAATACAACAGGTGTAGACCTTACAGTGAAATGCTTACTTACGAGCCCTTAACCAACAATGCAGTTCAAGAAATAGAGTTAAGAAAATATTTACTAAATAAAATAAAAGTAAAATAAAAAGTAACACAATAAAATAACGAGGCTATATACAGGGGGTACAGGTACCGAGTCAATGTGCGGGGGTACAGGTTAGTCGAGGTAATTTGTACATATACAGTACCAGTCAAAATGTTTGGACACCCCTACTCATTCAAGGGGTTTTCTTTATTTTCTACATGGTAGAATAATAGTGAAGACATCAAAACTATGAAATAACACATATGGAATGATGTAGTAACCAAAAAATAGCCACCCTTTGCCTAGATGACAGCATTGCACACTCTTGGCATTCTCTCAACCAGCTTCATGAGGTAGTCACCTGGAATGCATTTCAATTAACAGGTGTGCCTTCTTAAAAGTTAATTTGTGGAATTACTTTCCTTCTTATTGCGTTTGATCCAATCAGTTGTGTTGTGACAAGGTAGGGGGGGGGGGGGTATACAGAAGATAGCCCATATTATGGCAAGAACAGCTCAAATAAGCAAAGAGAAACTACCATTATTTTTAGACACAGAACTTTTCAAGAACTTTGAAAGTTTCTTCAAGTGCAGTTGCAAAAACCATCAAGCGCTATGATGAAACTGGCTCTCATGAGGACCGCCACAGGAAAGGATGACCCAGAGTTACCTCTGCTGCAGAGGATAAGTTCATTCGAGTCAACTGCACCTCAGATTGGAGCCCAAATAAATGCTTTACAGAGTTCAAGTAACAGACACATCAACATCAACTGTTCAGAGGAGACAGTGTGAATCAGGCATTCATGGTCGAATTGCTGCAAAGAAACCACTACTAAAAGGTCACCAATAAGAAGAAGAGACTTGCTTGGACCAAGAAACACACGCAATGGACATTAGACCGGTGAAAATCTGTCCTTTGGTCTGATGAGTCCAAATGTGAGATTTTTGGTTCCAACCGCTGTGTCTTTGTGAGACGCAGAGTAGGTGAACGGATGATCTCTGCATGTGTGGTTCCCACCGTGAAGCATGGAGGTGGTGGTGTGATGGTGCTTTGCTGGTGACACTGTCAGTGATGTATTTAGAATTCAAGGCACACTTAACCAGCATGGCTACCACAGCATTCTGCAGCGATACGCCATCCCATCTGGTCTGCGCTTAGTAGGACTATCATTTGTTTTTCAACAGGACAATGACCCAAAACACACCTCCAGGCTGTGTAAGGGCTATTTGACCAAGAAGGAGAGTGATGGAGTGCTGCATCAGATGACCTGGCCTCCACAATCTCCCGCCCTCAACCGAATTGAGATGGTTTGGGATGAGTCGGACCGCAGAGTGAAGGAAAAGCAGCCAACAAGTGCTCAGTATATGTGGGAACTCCTTCAAGACTGTTGGAAAAGCATTCATCATGAAGCTGGTTGAGAGAATGCCAAGAGTGTGCAAAGCTGTCATCAAGGCAAAGGGTGGCTACTTTGAAGAATCTAAAATATAACATATTTTGATTAGTTTAACACTTTTTTGGTTAATACATGATTCCATTTGTGTTATTTCATAGTTTTGATGTCTTCACTATTATTCTACAATGTAGAAAATAGTAAAAATAAAGAAAAACCCTTCAATGAGTAGGTGTGTCCAAACTTTTGACTGGGACTGTAGGTAGGGGTAAAGTGACTATGCATAGATAATAAACAGCGAGTAGCAGCAGTGTAAAAACAAAAGGGGGGGGGTCAATGTAAATAGTCCGGGTGGCCATTTTAGTATTTGTTCAGCAGTCTTATGGCTTGGGGGTAGAAGCTGTTAAGGAGCCTTTTGGACCTAGACTTGACGCTCCGGTACCGCTTGCCGTGCGGTAGCAGAGAGAACAGTCTATGACTTGGGTGACTGGAGTACAACACTGGTCTACTTCTAATTCTCCTGATCCTGTAAATGTGTGTCTACAGGTTTTTATGTGAGTGATACTGTACTTAAGAGTAAAGTGTTGACACCTTGGTGTGTATCAGTCTACTCACATGCAGTGAGGGGGACCACCCCCAGCCATGCAAAGGCCACCAGTGTGTAGTGGAACCAGTATCGTATGGCCGTGCCCACACTGGTCAGCAGGCCAGCACAGATGTCCTGGATGGGCAGGCGTGGGGGCATGTCTGGGGAGTAGACTGGAGCACAGACAGCAGGGACAGAGAGAGGGATGAGACACTTCATGTTCAAAGTTACAAACTTACTTAGAGAGAGAATATAAGGTTGAGACATTACTTATCAAGAACAACAAAAAAAGTATGTAGAACCTAAAAGGGTTCTTCGTCTGTCCCCATAGGAGAACCATTTGAATAACCCTTTTGGGCTCCAGGTATAACCCTTTTGGGTTCCAGTTTGAAACCTGTTTTCTAAGACTATTCAATGGCAGAGCTTCCCAGTCTGAAGTCAACCCCTTGCAACGGAGCACATGTTTAGACTGACAGGTCAATGCCACGGACGGGTACTTACTTGGTGTGAAAGCAAATCTGTGCTTGCATAATTCACAATACTCCTTCCTGCTGTGCTTCAGCCACTGGACCAAACTGTAAACAACAATGGTAAGAGAGGTGTGTTTTAGGGGAGGAATTAACATGTGCAAGAGCAGGCATGGAATACTGGCTTTCTCACTCAAGTAGGGCAACTCAGTCCAACTCACATGGGGCGATGTGTGTGTGGTATGTGGGGTGTGGTGCGTGTCTGAACGCGAGTGAGACAGAGAGAACAGCCCACACTGAACCGACCACAAGACTCTTTCATACATACACCTCAGTCCATTCATTCATAAGCCTAACATCCTATAATGCCTTCTATAAGACTGAGTACAACACTTGCTACTGTAACCCTGAGCTGTCTAGCATTCATGATTCTGTGGTACTAGTTTGAACTGTAATGTGAATCAAATTTTACGACACACACACACACACAGTGTGCCCAGTTAGGCCTACATGTTAATAACACCATGAAATCCAAGTGTAACTAACTATGCCTAGGTAACATGGTATCTATATATCCAGCTTAATCAATAGTGTGTGACCCAGTACTCTGACCCAACATGGGCTATTAGAGATCAGTGATATAATGACAGAGCAAATATTCTCAGAAAAGGGATGATGTTGATGACACAGTGCTTCAATGCACATCTGTACCTAGAGAAGCTAAGTGTGTGTATTTGACCACGACTGCAGTAACCTGAAGGCTTATCACGTTTCAAAACCTGGGCCTGTAGCAGTAAACCACATCACAGTAGTTCAAGAGTGTTCCGACTGCTTATCATCACTAATCTGTGTCTCATAGCTAATAGCCTAAACGACAAATCAGCAACTTTCACTCCTCTGTCCCTCAGGTTCTCATTTTAATAACAGTGAAGCAGGCTATTTTAGAAGGCCAATTTGATTGTCATCCAAAAAGCATTGCTAGGCCTAAATGTTTTTCACATCTTCAGTTTGCTCCTCTGTTCGGGCACCCTTGGTTGGAAAGTGAGATAGTGACAGTATTATTATTCCTCTACTCCTAAGTCCCGAACCAGCCTTGCCAGAGCCATGCCACACACACACAACCCAATAAATGTACCAGCAGCATGGCATTAACTACCCAGCTCTGTACAATTAACTACTTGGTTATGTAAGTCAATAATTACGCCCTAGCTGTTGCCACACTGTGTGTGTGTGTGTGTGTGTGTGTGTAATTACACTAGCAGGCCTCGAGGCTAAGCCTACACATTCTCACTCAATGGAAAAATACATTGTTATTTTAGACTTCAGTCTAAAATAGTCTAAATTACTGCCTGCTATCCTTTGCGCTATTTCAGCACACCTAGCTAATTGTTTTTCCTTTGTTAAACCCACATGGCAGGGAAACCAGCTGTGATAGCAGAGAAACCAGCTGTGATAGCAGAGAAAAATGTGGGGTGATCACTTGGATGCAGGCCAAAACCATCACCTCAGGACAGTCTTAGGTAAGCTAGGCCCTATGCTATATCCATATATCCAAATTAACGTTACTTCCTCCTACTGACTCAAATGTTATTTTTCTATGGCCATTATGCCAGAGGAGGAGTGAGTAGGTTTCTCTATTGCTGGTGTTGGGGGGTATAGTCGGACTATAAATATTAGGCCTATATAAAGTTGACTCCTGATAAATAAAACAATCTTGAGGTCCCAACTCAATTACATTCTTTGCAATTGCTCCTGATGACTGCATGCTCCCAAGCCATGTCATTCCTCAGAACATGAGTTCACAGTGTGATCGAGTCAGACAAAGAGAGAGCCACTCACCATTCCTGATGGATGAACTTGATACTGCCGGTGCAGACACAGGGGTGGTACAGGGGCTTGTCTGGGGTCCCCTCCGAACGACACACACGACATATATCTGCTACAAAACAGACAAAAGAGGAAGATATTAGTCCATTTGTTCAGAGAAACAAAACACACACACACACATATATATACAGTGAGGGAAAAAAGTATTTGATCCCCTGCTGATTTTGTACGTTTGCCCACTGACAAAGACATGATCAGTCTATAATTTTAAATGGTAGGTTTATTACAAAGCATGTAGAGGTCTGTAATTTTTATCATAGGTACACTTCAACTGTGAGAGACGGAATCTAAAACAAAAATCCAGAAAATCACATTGTATGATTTTTAAGTAATTCATTTGCATTTTATTGCATGACATAAGTATTTGATCACCTACCAACCAGTAAGAATTCCGGCTCTCACAGACCTGTTAGTTTTTCTTTAAGAAGCCCTCCTGTTCTCCACTCATTACCTGTATTAACTGCACCTATTTGAACTCGTTACCTGTATAAAAGACACCTGTCCACACACTCAAACAGACTCCAACCTCTCCACAATGGCCAAGACCAGAGAGCTGTGTAAGGACATCATGGATACAATTGTAGACCTGCACAAGGCTGGGAATGGCTACAGGACAATAGGCAAGCAGCTTGGTGAGAAGGCAACAACTGTTTGGCGCAATTATTAGAAAATGGAAGAAGTTCAAGATGACGGTCAATCACCCTCGGTCTCGGGCTCCATGCAAGATCTCACCTCGTGGGGCATCAATGATCATGAGGAAGGTGAGGGATCACCCCAGAACTACACGGCAGGACCTGGTCAATGACCTGAAGAGAGCTGGGACCACAGTCTCAAAGAAAACCATTAGTAACACACTACGCCGTCATGGATTAAAATCCTGCAGCGCACGCAAGGTCCCCCTGCTCAAGCCAGCGCATGTCCAGGCCCGTCTGAAGTTTGCCAATGACCACCTGGATGATCCAGAGGAGGAATGGGAGAAGGTCATGTGGTCTGATGAGACAAAAATAGAGCTTTTTGGTCTAAACTCCACTCGCCGTGTTTGGAGGAAGAAGAAGGATGAGTACAACCCCAAGAACACGTCCCAACCGTGAAGCATAGAGGTGGAATCATCATTCTTTGGGGATGCTTTTCTGCAAAGGGGACAGGATGACTGCACCGTATTGAGGGGAGGATGGATGGGGCCATGTATCGCGAGATCTTGGCCAACAACCTCCTTCCCTCAGTAAGAGCATTGAAGATGGGTCGTGGCTGGTTCTTCCAGCATGACAACAACCCGAAACACACAGCCAGGGCAACTAAGGAGTGGCTCCGTAAGAAGCATCTCAAGGTCCTGAAGTGGCCTAGCCAGTCTCCAGACCTGAACCCAATAGAAAATCTTTGGAAGGAGCTGAAAGTCCGTATTGCCCAGCGACAGCCCCGAAACCTGAAGGATCTGGAGAAGGTCTGTATGGAGGAGTGGGCCAAAATCCCTGCTGCAGTGTGTGCAAACCGGGTCAAGACCTACAGGAAACGTATGATCTCTGTAATTGCAAACAAAGGTTTCTGTACCAAATATTATGTTCTGCTTTTCTGATGTATCAAATACTTATGTCATGCAATAAAATGCAAATTAATTACTTAAAAATCATACAATGTGATTTTCTGGATTTTTGTTTTAGATTCCGTCTCTCACAGTTGAAGTGTACCTATGATACAAATTACAGACCTCTACATGCTTTGTAAGTAGGAAAACCTGCAAAATCGGCAGTGTATCAAATACTTGTTCTCCCCACTGTATATACATACTACCGTTAAAAAGTTTGGGGTCACTTAGAAATGTCCTTGTTTTTTTGTCCATTAAAATAACATCAAATTGATCAGAAATACAGTGTAGACATTGTTAATGTTGTAAACGGCTATTGTAGCTGGAAACAGATGATTTTTTTATGGAATATCTACATAGGCATACAGAGGCCCATTATCAGCAACCATCAGTCCTGTGTTCCAATGGCACGTTGTTTGCTAATCCAAGTTTATCATTTTAAAAGGCTAATTGATCATTAAAAAAACCTTTTGCAATTATGTTAGCACAGCTGAAAACTGTTGTGCTGATTAAAGAAGCAATAAAACTGGCCTTCTTGAGACTAGTTGAGTATCTGGAGCATCAGCAATTGTGGGTTCGATTACAGGCTCAAAATGGCCAGAAACAAATAACTTTCTTCTGAAACTCGTCAGTCTATTCTTGTTCTGAGAAATGAAGGCTATTCCATGCGAGAAATTGCCAAGAAACTGAAGATCTCGTACAACGCTGTGTACTACTCCCTTCACTGAACAGCGCAAACTGGCTCTAACCAGAATAGAAAGAGGAGTGGGAGGCCCCGGTGCACAACTGAGCAAGAGGACAAATACATTAGTGTCTAGTTTGAGAAACAGACACCTCACAGGTCCTCAACTGGCAGCTTCATTAAATAGTACCCGCAAAACACCAGTCTCAACGTCAACAGTGGTCCTCTGTAGCTCAGCTGGTACAGCACGGCGCTTGTAACGCCAGGGTAGTGGGTTCGATCCTCGGGACCACCCATACACAAAAAAAATTATGCACGCATGACTGTAAGTCGCTTTGGATAAAAGAGTCTTCTAAATGGCATATTATTATATTATGAGGCGACTCCGGGATGCTGACCTTCTAGGCAGAGTTGCAAAGAAAAATACATATCTCAGCCTGGCCAATAAAAATAAAAGATGGGAGAAGAACACAGACACTGGACAGAGGAAGATTGGAAAAAAGTGTTATGGACAGACTAATTGAAGTTTGAGGTGTTTGGATCACAAAGAAGAACATTTGTGAGACGCAGACCAAATGAAAAGATGCTGGAGGAGTGCTTGATGCCATCTGTCAAGCATGGTTGAGGCAATGTGATGGTCTGGGGGTGCTTTGGTGGTGGTAAAGTGGGAGATTTGTACAGGGTAAAAGGGATCTTGAAGAAGGAAGGCTATCACTCCATTTTGCAACGCTATGCCATACCCTGTGGACGGCGCTTGATTGGAGCCAATTTCCTCCTACAACAGGACAATGACCCAAAGCACAGCTCCAAACTATACAATAACTATTTAGGGAAGAAGCGGTCAGCTGGTATTCTGTCTATAATGGAGTGGCCAGCACAGTCTGTTGTGGGAGCAGCTTGACCATATGGTATGTAAGAAGTGCCCATCAAGCCAATCCAACTTGTGGGAGGTGCTTCAGGAAGCATGGGGTGAAATCTCTTCAGATTACCTCATCAAATTGACAACTAGAATGCCAAAGGTCTGCAAGGCTGCAAATGGAGGATTATTTGACGAAAGCAAAGTTTGAAGGACACAATTATAATTTCCATTAAAAATCATTATTTCTAACCTTGTCAATGACTACATTTCCTATGCATTTTGCTATATTTCCTATTCAAACTCATTTCATGTATGTTTTCATGGAAAACAAGGACTAAGTGACCCCAAACTTTTGAACGGTAGTGTATATTCACACACACATCTACATATATATACAGGATTTGCTCCTGGCTTAGCTTCCTACACATAAGAACTGCCTCCTGTGGTAGCAACCAATTTGCACCATATGGATAGTTAATTTCAGCTGGCCTTACACTGCCAGGATAAATGGCAACATCTGCTTTGACACTGATGCCATGAGAGCACATCAGGAGGCTAATAGCTAGCTACGTTTAATTGATTACTTAACTAGTAACTCCAGTTAGCTTAACTAGCATGTCAGTGCTAGCAGCATCATTCATCTCTGTACTGGGGAAATGTGTTAGATAACAATCTAGTTAGCTAACTACTCGTAACTTATTTTATTATCGATGGCTGATGTCACTGTTTGGGTGTCTGTCGACGAAAAATGTGTTGTGCTGAAGTTGGCAAGGTAAACTAACGTTACCCACAAAGTCTCCAAAAGGTAGTCTCGAACAGTAGTCTAGCTAGCTAACGCAACGTTAGTAACATTAGACTGACTGTAAAATTAAAGCGCGAATTAAAAGTACGAATCTCGGAGCATCGTAACACCATTAGGTGCAAAAACTCGACATACCCAGTCGCTGCCCACTTTTTGGAAGCGAAACACTCGATTTCATCCCTACGTTTTTATCGGCATCGAACATGTCACCCTCCCTAGGAGGGGAGGAGACCTCGACAACTTATTGTTAAAACGAGAGGCTGCCTGGATCTTTAATTTAAAGACCCTTGCTCCCTTCGGTCTCAACGTAGACTTTGATTTGAAGCCATTCTTGTGATTTTGCTATTCATTGTAAATGTTTGTGGGACTATGTAGCCAAGTTGTATCTATGATCGTATGCTATCTATTCATGTTTTTTGTATGTTCTGTTTATCTGTGAATTTACCAACGCTATCAGGCCACACCCGGCCATGATTACAGACACCTGCGTGTGTCCTTGACACTATATAAACTAGTGACCCGCAGTGTTTGTCATTATACCCTGATGAAGACAGCTTGTCTGTCGAAACGTTGGTTATTAGGTTATTAAATTATTGCATCTGAGCTCCTAGAGTGTGCGGCTCTCCTTTTATTTTTCAAGTGTAAAATTACATTTACCTTCATCTGCCGTTTCCATTTTACTGGATGACGCTCTCCCCTCTTCTGTAGCAATAGTTTGCTATTGCAAACCCATTCAGAACGCGAAGGCCAGTGTTTTTAGCCGATTAGGCTAGCTAGCTATCCTTGATAAAATGGTGTCCACTTTGATGAAAACTAGAATCCCAGTCTTTACTTGTTTCGTGACACGCGCAGTAAGAACACGATCGATGTTCCTTTTCACTGTTGTAGCGGTTGTCAAACGGAGATCAATAGCTTGTTACCTCTACCTTTTGAATTCAACACGATCAAGGCGTCGATTAAGTACCTAGTTAGATCTCTTTGACCCGTCACAACATTGACAGTGTGCGCCGCTTTCTGGACGCGGTCACAGCTTCCGGTTTGGTAACGTAATGTTACATATATTATGTGTGTTTTCTGACACGTGTAGATAGTGACATCCTGAGGTATTTCGATGTTACTACATCATACCAATATGTCTGTGACTGAATCCCATTTTCCTTTAGATTAATGTCTGTTCCACCACTTTACCCCGTTCTGGTCTTTACAGTTAATATCGGAATCTAATGTAGTAACTGCACACAGTATACTTTACAACAAATTCTCACATTACCAAAGGTCAAGTATGAGTAACTTATTTCGAGCCGATTACATCACGGGCGCTGTGGCTTAGTTGGTTAAAGCGCCTGTCTAGTAAACAGGAGATCCTGAGTTCGAATCTCAGCAGTGCCTTTTTGGGACAGTGGGTTAGTACACTTCGGAAGTGTCCCAGCTGAAACAGGATAGAGGCGACTTGCATGACTATTACACGTTTGCATTTTCTACACTCAAAAAGCGGATTTTAAGCAGATCCATTTTGGTTGGAATGAACTTCGGACTGGGTGGGAACTAACGTAACTCAGGCTATTTGAACAGGGCGTTCCTTGCAGTCAGTCGGTGACCAGGTTGGCCATTCACATGATTCTCTTTAGCCGCAGAAGGAAACTAAACTGAACTCTAACCGCGAAGGGAACAAATATACATTTTCTTCTGCAAAGTCCCCGTTTCAGAGTTTTAGCCAAAAATAACAATAAAGTGGCCAAATAAGTGTTCAATTTAATAAATGGTAACTCTCAAACCCCAATTTTAGCCATTCCCTAAGCCATTCAAATAAAAAATGCATTCAGGTGAGAAGTTGTGGGTGGGGGGAATTGCTCATAAACGGGTAAGCGGTACGGTCTGGTACGGCATCCCGGCAAAATAAATAGTGTGGGTACTGTACCAGTAAAGCATGAGCCTATCACAATAATTAAAAACAAAATGTCAAGAAAACGGTAGGCTATTACACCACTTGTTTATCATTACCGCATGTCAGAGGGATGAAAAATTAGCGAATGGACTTGAAAACGGGTTGTATAGCCTACCTACGCTAAATGCGATGTGGTTCGACGAAAACACTGACTTCCGAGACGCGCGCGGACAGCAGTGGACTCATAAATTCGGGCCTAATGACAATCGCCAAATGTCATTACACTTTTTGGTGTTTTGTGTAACAGATGTGTCTTTCCATTCACAACTGTTTGGAGGCTGGAAATATGTTGCAGGTGGGTGAACATGCGCGGTCTGCTTAGTAAAGGAGCCCTCTGAAGTGATCGTCTGACAATCAGATGAAAACATCATGACTGCGCAGTGGGCATTTGAAGTGATAAATATGTATTTTACTGGTTAGAATCTGGTCGGAACATCTTATTATCAGTCAGAAATATACATTTTGGAGGTAGGTAAACGTAGTTGTACCTGATCCCAACGCTTTCTCACTAAAGCGTATTTACCAGAAGTTCACTGGCACGCTCTGATAATAAAATAATTTCCATCGCGAAAAAATATGTCTCTGTACAGTTTGCTGATATTGGTAAGGCGCCGAGTTCCGGATATCTATTGCCACTTGCAGTGTCAGTTCGAATCCCCCATGGGGCGCAAAAAAAAAACGTTGAAATGTATATTCTCATTTATTGAAAATGAAGATTAGTGGCTCAATTCAATCCAACCCGCATTGCAGTATTGACGCAGTAGGTATTTTTCCAATGCAGAATCTTTTATAATACCCCAACAGAGCATGACAACGAATGAGCACATGCTGCAGCAGCAGATACATTTTTATTTCTATACAGGCTATTGTTAAAAAATAGGATAATCTAAGTTTCCAACAGTGCTAAAGTTGTCTATCAACTGTAAAAATGTAGTGCAACAGAACCAGTTACAACTGAAGTATCTGAAAAGCCATTCATTTTTTAACACAGCAGCCACATAGCAACTTTTTTCAGCTGGGAAACTATCATTTTCTAATTTATTATATTTTATTCCATGATATTGCTGTTACACAATATATTTGTGTTGACTGTGATTAGAGCATGGGAATTTAAGAGCATCTGCTAGGCTAAGTCAACAAAATTGGCATGAATAGCTCACCGCTTGATCCTCAAACCAAAGACTGGCAAAACTAGTGTTTCTAAAAGTGAATTCAAAGGCACTGTATAATGACTGTATAGCATAATATGGCATTTTTAGTTTAATTATTATTTAATTGTAAGTATTTAATTATTTTAATTACAATTTTATAAAGCCTAAATGCAAAATGTATAGCATGTTGTTGAAGTCCTGTTGTTGATGTGTTGTTGCTCCTGCCTGCCTTTAGCATGTCACAAATGCTTCACAATGTATTACTTAAATGGCAGGCTATAGCCTTGAAATAATAATAATATTATAGCCAAAATAATTCATTTTCGTGCCTTCTTAGGCTACCTGGCTTGCTCCTGACTGATTTAGAGTTAGTATGTTATTTAATAGCCTGTTGAAATGTTGAAGGTCAACATTTCAATTGGTCAGGTCTTTCCCCAACATATTACAGCTTTTTTTTTTTGCATAAAGCATTGTGGACTATTTTTAATGAGGGAAATAAGTATTTGACCCCCTCTCAATCAGAAAGATTTCTGGCTCCCAGGTGTCTTTTATACAGGTAACGAGCTGAGATTAGGAGCACACTCTTAAAGGGAGTGGTCATAATCTCAGTTTGTTACCTGTATAAAAGACACCTGTCTACAGAAGCAATCAATCAGATTCCAAACTCTCCACCATGGCCAAGACCAAAGAGCTCTCCAAGGATGTCAGGGACAAGATTGTAGACCTACACAAGGCTGGAATGGGCTACAAGACCATCGCCAAGCAGCTTGGTGAGAAGGTGACAACAGTTGGTGCGATTATTCGCAAATGGAAGAAACACAAAATAACTGTCAATCTCCCTCGGCCTGGGGCTCCATGCAAGATCTCACCTCGTGGAGTTGCAATGATCATGAGAACGGTGAGGAATCAGCCCAGAACTACACGGGAGGATCTTGTCAATGATCTCAAGGCAGCTGGGACCATAGTGACCAAGAAAACAATTGGTAACACACTACGCTGTGAAGGACTGAAATCCTGCAGCACCCGCAAGGTCCCCCTGCTCAAGAAAGCACATATACAGGGCCATCTGAAGTTTGCCAATGAACATCTGAATGATTCAGAGGAGAACTCAAAAAAATCAAGCTCTTTGGTATCAACTCAACTCGCCGTGGAGGAAGAGGAATGCTGCCTATGACCCCAAGAACACCATCCCCACCGTCAAACATGGAGGTTGAAACATTATGCTTTGGGGGTGTTTTTCTGCTAAGGGGACAGGACAACTTGACCGCATCAAAGGGACGATGAACGGGCCATGTACCGTCAAATCTTGGGTGAGAACCTCCTTCCCTCAGCCAAGGCATTAAAAATGGGTCGTGGATGGGTATTCCAGCATGATAATGACCCAAAACACATGGCCAAGGCAACAAAGGAGTGGCTCAATAAGAAGCACATTAAGGTCCTGGAGTGGCCTAGCCAGTCTCCAGACATTAATCCCATAGAAAATCTGTGGAGTGAGCTGAAGGTTCGAGTTGCCAAACGTCAGCCTCGAAACCTTAATGACTTGGAGAAGATCTGCAAAGAGGAGTGGGACAAAATCCCTCCTGAGATGTGTGCAAACCTGGTGGCCAACTATAAGAAACGTCTGACCTCTGTGATTGCCAACAAGGGTTTTGCCACCAAGTACTAAGTAATGTTTTGCAGAGGGGTCAAATACTTATTTCCCTCATTAAAATGCAAATCAATTTATAAAAAATGTTACATGCGTTTTTCTGGATTATTTTGTTGTTATTCTGTCTCTCACTGTTCAAATATACCTACCATTAAAATTTTGGACTGATCATGTCTTTGTCAGTGGGCAAACGTACAAAATCAGCAGGGGATCAAATACTTTTTTCCCTCACTGTATATATTTTTAAGCAAACAAGGGGTAGGCCTATGCTTTTAGCCATTTTCTTTAGCAAAAGCCACAATTCCCTCACATACCCCCTCAATTCGAGCCCTGTTTTTACCTTAACACACCAAACCCTTCACTGACACGGAGCTATTTAAGAAGTGCATGGTAACTGAAGGAATTGGCTGACAAAATCTATGGATAGTAGATTATAATTGCATCTGTCAAACAGGTAGCCCTACCTCTTCTTTCTTGAATAGGAAGAAATAGGCTCCAACACAAAGTTATCTTGTTGTAAGTAGCCTAAAGTCAAATTAAAATGAAGAATGTTTAAATAAATTAGGCCTTCTCGAATTAGCCTACTTTCAGCACTCATGAACTGTCCATCTCCGCGGCTGCCACTTCATAGTAATAGAAGTTATGTAAATTATTCGAATATGGCTTATTGTGAGGTCAATAACTCTGATAAATACACTATATATACAAAAGTATGTGGACACCCCTTCTAATTAGTGGATTCGGCTATTTCAGCCACAACCATTGCTGACAGGTGTATAAAATCGAGTAACAGCCATGCAATCTCCATAGACAAACATAGGCATTAGATTGGTCTTACTGAAGAGCTCAGTGACTTTCAATGTGGCACCATCGTAGGATGCCACCTTTTCAACAAGTCAGTTCGTCAAATTTCTGCCCTGCTAGAGCTGCCCCTGTCAACTGTAAGTGCTGTTATTGTAAAGTGGAAACGTCTAGGAGCAACAATGGCTCAGCCGCGAAGTGGTAGGCCACACAAGCTCACAGAATGGGACCGCCGAGTGCTGAAGCACGTAGCGCATAAAAATCGTCTGTCCTCGGTTGCAACACTCACTACCGAGTTCCAAACTGCCTCTGGAAGCAACGTCAGCACAATAACTGTTCGTCGGGAGCTTCATGAAATGGGTTTCCATGGCCGAGCAGCCGCACACAAGCCTAAGATCATCATGTGCAATGCCAAGTGTCCGCTGGTGTGGTGTAAAGCTCGCCACGATTGCGACTCTGAAGCAGTGGAAACGCATTCTCTGGAGTGATAAATCACGCTTCACCATCTGGCAGTCTGACGGACGAATCTGGGTTTGGCAGATGCCAGGAGAACACTACCTGCCCCAATGCATAGTGCCAATGGGCTAGGCCCCTTAGTTCCAACAAAGGGAAATCTTAACACTACAGCATACTATGACATTCTAGACGATTCTGTGCTTCCAACTTTGTGGCAACAGTTTGGGGAAGGCCCTTTACTGTTTCAACATGACAATGCCACCGTGCACAAAGTGAGGTCCATACAAAAATGGTTTGTCGAAATCAAATCAAATTTTGTTAGTCACTTACACATATTTAGCAGATGTTATTGCGGGTGTAGAGAAATGCTTGTGTTCCTTGCTCCAACACTGCAGTAGTATCTAACAATTCACACAAATCTAAAAGTAAAAGAATGGAATTAAGAAATATATAAATATTAGGACGAGCAATGTCAGAGTGGCATTGACTAAAATACAGTAGAATAGAATACAGTATATACATATGAGATGAGTAAAGCAGTATGTAAACATTATTAAAGTGGCCAGTGATTCCATGTCTATGTATATAGGGCAGCAGCCTCTAAGGTGCAGGGTTGAGTAACCGGGTGGTAGCAGGCTAGTGATGGCTAATTAACAGTCTGATGGCCTTGAGATAGAAGCTGTTTTTCAGTCTCTCGGTCCATGCTTTGATGCACCTGTACTGACCTCGCCTTCTGGATGATAGCGGGGTGAACAGGCCGTGGCTCGGGTGGTTGATGTCCTCGATGATCTTTTTGGCCTTCCTGTGACATCAGGTGCTGTAGGTGTCCTGGAGGGCAGGCAGTGTGCCCCCGGTGATGCATTGGACAGACCGCACCACCCTCTGGAGAGCCCTGCGGTTGCGGGCGGTGCGATTGCCGTACCAGGCGGTGATACAGCCCGACAGGATGCTCTCAATTGTGCATCTGTAAAAGTTTGTGAGGGTCTTAGGGGCCAAGCCAAATTTCTTCAGCCTCCTGAGGTTGAAGAGACGCTGTTGCGCCTTCTTCACCACACTGTGTGGGTGGATCATTTCAGATTGTCAGTGATGTGTACGCCGAGGAACTTAAAGCTTTCCACCTTCTCCACTGCAGTCCCATCAATGTGGATAGGGGGGTGCACCCTCTGCTGTTTCCTGAAGTCCATGATCAGCTCCTTCTTTTGTTGACGTTGAGGGAGAGGTTATTTTTCTGGCACCACTCCGCCAGGGCCCTAACCTCCTCCCTGTAGGCTGTCTCGTCATTGTTGGTAATCAGGCCTACTACTGTTTTGTCATCTGCAAACTTGATGATTGAGTTGGAGGCGTGCTTGGCCACGCAGTCATGGGTGAACAGGGAGTACAGGAGGGGGCTGAGCACACACCCTTGTGGGGCCCCTGTGTTGAGGATCAGCGAAGTGGAGGTGTTGTTTCCTACCTTCACCACCTGGGGGCGGCCCGTTAGGAAGTCCAGGACGCAGTTGCACAGGGCAGGGTTCAGACCAGGGCCCAAGCTTAATAATGAGCTTGGAGGGTACTATGGTGTTGAAGGCTGAGCTATAGTCAATGAACAGAACAGCATTCTTACGTAGGTATTCCTCTTGTAGTGTGCAGTGCGATGGCGATTGCATCGTCTGTGGATCTATTGGGGGCGGTAAGCAAATTGAAGGGGGTCAGGTAAGGTAGAGGTGATATGATCCTTAACTAGCCTCTCAAAGCACTTCATGATGACAGAAGTGAGTGCTACAGGGCTATAGTCATTTAGTTCAGTTACCTTTGCTTTCTTGGGTACAGGAACAATGGTGGGCATCTTGAAGCAAGTGGGGACAGCAGACTGGGATAGGGAGAGATTGAATATGTCCGTAAACATTCCAGTCAGCTGGTCTGCGCATGCTCGGAGGACACGGTTAGGGATGCCGTCTGGGCCGGCATCCTTGTGAGGGTTAACACGCTTAAAACGTCTTACTCACGTCGGCCACGGAGAACGAGAGCCCACAGTCCTTGGGAGCATGCTGCGTCAGTGGCACTGTGTTATCCTCAAAGCGGGTGACGAAGGTGTTTAGCTTGTCCGGGAGCAATACGTCAGTGTCCGCGACATGGCTGGTTTTCCCTTTGTAATCCGTGATTGTCTGTAGATCCTGCCACATACGTCTCATGTCTGAGCCGTTGAATTGCGACTCCACTTTGTCTCTGTACTGACGTTTTGCCTGTTTGATTGCCTTAAGGAGGGAATAACTACACTGTTTGTATTCAACCATATTCCCAATCACCTTGCCATGGTTAAATGCGGTGGTTCACGCTTTCAGTTTTGCATGAATTCTGCCATCTATCCATGGTTTCTGGTTTGGGTAGGTTTTAATAGTCACAGTGGGAACAACATTCCCTATACACTTCCTGATGAACTCAGTCACCGTGTCCGTGTATACGTCAATGTTATTCTCAGAGGCTACCCGGAACATATCCCAGTCCGCGTGATCAGAACAATCTTGAAGCATGGATTCCAATTGGTCAGACCAGCATTGAATAGACCTTAGCACGGGTACTTCCTGTTTAGGTTTCTGCCTATATTAAGGGAGGAGCAAAATTGAGTCGTGATTTGGTTTGCCGAAGGGAGGGCAGAGGAGGGCCTTGTAGGCATCTCGAAAGGGGGAGTAGCAGTGGTCGAGTGTTTTACCAGAGCGAGTACTACAGTCAATGTGTTGGTAGAACTTCGGTAGAATTTTCCTCAAATTTGCTTTGTTAAATGTGGCCTCAGGATATGTGGTTTCCAGTTTGCATAAAGTCCAGTGTAGTGCCTTGAGGGCCGTCGTGGTATCGGCCTGAGGGGGAATATACACGGCTGTGACCATAACCGAAGAGAATTCTGTTGGGAGGTAATACGGTCAGCATTTGATTGTGAGGTATTCTAGGTCGGATGAACAAAAGGACTTGAGTTTCTGTATGTTATCACAATCACACCATGAGTAGTTAATCATGAAACAGACACCACCGCCCTTCTTCTTCCTGGAGAGTTCTTTATTCCTGACTGCGCAATGTACTGAGAACCCAGCTGGCTGTATGGACGGGGACAGTATATCCCGAGAGAGCAATGATTCCGTGAAACAGAGTATGTTACAGTCCCTGATGTCTCTCTGGAAGGATATCCTTACCCTGAGCTCGTCTACTTATTGTCAAGAGACTGAACATTAGCGAGTAATATACTCGGAAGCGGTGGATGGTGTGCACGCCTCCTGAGTCGGACTAGAAGTCCACTCCGAATACCTTTTCTCCGCCGGCGGCATCTTGGAGCAGCCTCTGGGATAAGTTCAATTGCCCTAGGGGGTATGAACAAAGGATCTAATTCAGGAAAGTCGTATTCCTGGTTGTAATGCTGGTGAGTTAACGCCGCTCTGATATCCAAAAGTTATTTCCGGCTGTATGTAATAACACAAAAAACATTCTGGGCTAATAATGTAAGAAATAACACCCATAAATTATAATAATACTGCAAAGTTGCTTAGGAGCTAGATGCAGAGCTGCCATGTCTGTTGGCGCCATCTTGCGCCGACAGATCGGTTTGGAAGAACTTGACTGACCTGCACAGAGCCCTGATCTCAAGCCCATTGAACACCATTGGAATGAATGGGAACGCCGACTGCGAGCCAGGCCTAATCGCCCAATATCAGTGCCCGACCTCACTAATGCTCTTGTGGCTGAATGGAAGCAAGTCCCCACAGCAATGTACAGCAATGTGCCAACATCTAGTGGAAAGCCTTCTCAAAAGAGTGGAGGCTGTTATAGCAGCAAAGGGGGGACCAACTCCATATTAATGCCCATGATTATGCAATGAGATGTTCGACGAGCATACTTTTGGTTATGTAGTGTAGCTTCGTTATGGGCAACAAAACATATTGTTTTTATTAAAATCAATTATAGCAGTAGCAAGCTTACCTCGCGTCCTCCTTCTCATCTTCATGCTCTCCCTCTCAAACTGAACAGGACATCAGTAGGCCTAGTCCGCACGCACAGATATTGCATTTCTGGACAAATACACATTTATTTTGTGAAGAAGCCTTCGACTCACCTCCTGAAGTGCCACCGTACACAGCACAGCCATTGGTTAGGCAGCACACAAGGGTTTACATCAGCAAGAGCAGGGCAGGCCAGGGCTCATGATTGGGATAGCCTACCCATTGCAGTTTGTAATGCAGTGTAGCCTAGTTTTATATACATCATCCCAGCAGTGCAAAAACTCGGGAAGGAAGTACATTTTCTTAGAAATATAACTTTGCCCTGTTCTTCTCCGAGCATGCTCTTCATATATAGCCTAGGCCTATAGCCTATAGCATAGGGCCTATGCTATAGGCTATGGATCATTTGATTGAGACCACACTAGGCGCACTTGATATTTTGCGGCCAGCAGAGAATCGTGGATGACGGGCAGCATCAGGCACACATTGATATATAATAAGCAACTAATTCTCAAACCATGAGCAATATGACATTTAATCGATTACAAATTACAGAACCCACCCCTCCCAGACTAAATTCAAAAGTACTAAGCCCTCCCCCTAACTGAAATTGAAAAAACATGACCCACCCCCATTTTCCTCCGGGTAACAATTGTGTACATTTCGACCGCTGCCATACTGCCTTTTGAATTTTGTGTAAAGTCAGTAGTCTAGTCAAGGAAGCATCATGCAAAATATATTGGCACACTCAACTTAACAAGATCATTGCCAAGTAAGGTGCACTTACACCTGCTTTTATAGTAAGCCTTGAGGTGGTAACACCCAGCACTAGAAGGAAGTGTATTTCATACTGAACCCCTCCCTTGAGATGACATAGAGTTGAACCGCTAGGGGCAAAAAGAGCTAGATTTACTATCTCGAGAAGGAGGTTGCTGCAGCTCAATATGGTGACAGCAGTATGGGCGAGTGGGTGTGTCGAAAGGAAAGTAGTGGGCGTGTGGAAAGGAGTGGGTGTGTTGAAAGCGCTCTGCAATAGGTTAGGCGGTTTTGATTGAGCAGTGTTTTTTTTCTTCCATTTCTTACAATTCAACTACCATACATTGAGGTACCAAAATCATGGGTTTTGAAGCCAGAGGATGAGTCTGAGTCGTATTTCACTGTTTGTTTTACACAAATAATTGTACATTTTCAGTTATAAAACGGACGATTGTTTATTTTTTATTAAAAGTACAGATGGTGCACTGTTGCTTCATGCGTTGTGACTGTCACCCTGATACTAGGTAGGCCTAGCTACTTCCCAAAGTTGGAGCGAAGGGCGCTGTGTCCCGGTGTTGTTGCCGTTCATGCGCTCCCAATTGAGTACACTGCATGTGCATGTATCAAGGTGACATCTAGATGGTTATCAATATTAATTATTTATTGGGTAGGCTGCTATCCTACTTGAAATAAAATCATGGGAGGGGGAAAAAATTGTCACGTTAGTTACACCCGCTCGCCCATACGCCAGTCGCCATATTGGGCTGCAGCTAGCTCATACTTTATTAAAATACCAAAATATAAAGTATGGGTAGCTGCAGCCCAATTTCGCGACCGGAGTATGGGCGAGTGGGTGTGTCGAAAAGAGTAGGTGTATGGAAAGCGAAATCAGGTAATTGGGCAGATTTGTTGCCACCAGTGGCGGCTCCTGAAAAAATTCTCAGGAGGGGCAATTTTTCTGATGATTTAGGTGACCTACACACATTTAAAAAAAGATATGTCCAGCAACAACATGAAGACAGGGGCAGCATATAAGTCAATACCAGAAGCATTTATTGACTGATCTCAAAAGTGTTGGCTTACCAGGGTTGGTGGAGCCCTCAGTTTCATCTTTGCCTCGCAAAGCTAACTCAAACACTCCGCAAAACTTCACACACTGGATTAGCCGGCTGAGGATGTGGCGGTTCTTGCTAATGTCGTAGTAAATATATTTGTTATAGTGAATATGGAATATGATATGTTGAGTAAAATGTTGTGCTAAGATCTATTTAGGTCAGGAGCTGGTTATAAGTTCTGTTCCTATCCAATAACAATGGACAAAAGGGTCCTATCTTGTCAGCCTTGTCAGCAGGTGGCCAAGGACAACACCCACGCCATAGGCCTCTCAGTTCTTCCAACTCACGAGTTCTTGCTCTGAGGACACACACACACACAAACACACACACACACACATCATCACTGTTAAACACACACACACACACACACATCATCACTGTTAAACACACACACACACACACACACACACACAAAAATCCCCTCTCTTAGGCTGAACATTTGAAGACAGAGAACCCGACTCAGAGCCAATGCAACAGTGACAGTAGCCTGCAGGGGACCTCGCCCAACTCATCAGGACCAATCAGAAGATCAGAACTACTAGATTGAACCTACTTCATTTATTGCATAAAATGTCTGCACACAATGTTTCGGGGCTCTCTTCAGATAATAATAATAATAATAATAATAACAATATGCCATTTAGCAGACGCTTTTATCCAAAGCGACTTACAGTCATGCGTGCATACATTTTTGTGTATGGGTGGTCCCGGGGATCGAACCCACTACCTTGGCGTTACAAGCACCATGCTCTACCAGCTGAGCTACAGAAAGTGGATACTCATGGATGCGCATTGCAATTGTAAAATGTCAACACAATTGGAGACACCACGTCATTTTTGGAGACATGTTATTGACAGTAAACTATTGTAGATGCGACTGCTAACTAACTAAAACATTTTAGCTGGCTAGCTAATCATCTTAGCTAAATGTGGGGCAAACAATTCAGTTATTTACCGTTAATTTGAGGGATTGGGGTGAAAGAAATCGAGTTACATAGTGATACTTTACGATATACTGTATTGACAATATCGCAATATTTTAGCGCTAGTTGGCTGTACCTGCACCAAAACACCATTATTGTTCCTTCATAGCTTGTTCTCAATCTTTTCACATTGGGAGCCAATTTGTTTTCAGCACTTTTATTTCCATGACTGATCAAAACTCGTTCTCATGGCTTTCTGATCCCTCTGCAACAGACATATGGTGCGCAATAAAATCACAGTATCGAATCGCAATACGTATAGAATCATGAGACTCGCAATGCTGATGCATATATCTTATCGTGAGGTTCCTGGCAATTCCCAGCCCAAGTTCATTTGCCACAACAAATCTCTTCGCTAGCAAACGCGATGTCTTCTCCAAAACGGCAATGTGTCTCCAGCAATGTTTACTTTTTTGACGTTCTATGGCATCTCCACTTTCCAAGCATATATGACCACATGTAATATTTTGGTAAGTGATGCAAATAGTGAACTATGTAGGGCCAGGATGTAAAATATATGTAGCTGCAGCAATTTCTCTTATCTGATATGGTAAGTAATGGGGCTTAATTTATAGCTCCCTAAGAGTTTGACGAACGGGTCCGTGAACGCGATTCCAGATATATTTACCTCTGAATAAACTGCCTTTATTACACCATATCCACATCCAGTAAACTTGTGATTATCAACACTAACCTCATCGTTGTGGCGGCGGACAGCTAGCCTGTATCCCTCGTCATCCAGTTGAGTGAGTGGCAATGTCTTTTTTCGTTCGTACCAATTTTTGGAAAATCCTCGGGTGTAGGACTTTCCGCCTTTAGTAGAAACCTGTTGAATTATTAAATTTGGTCTGGGAGGTCCTAATTGTTTCGTTGCCAATTTATCTTCATTTGTTCGCCGACAAAAAGGAACTAATTTCAAACAATCCACTCTTTTCTCAGTTACGTTCATGGTTACGTAACGTATGACGAAAGCGCGTAAGTGCAAGCCCACAGACACCCATTGAGATTGTATTGAAGGCTCTGAAATTTGAAAAAAATTGATTTTACATGGGAGTCTATGACAGAAGTTCTGGGCGATTTTCAATCTGACTGAAATCGCCCCAAAAGGGGGTGGAGCCATTTGAAGCACGACTTTAGCCTGATTCGACATTTAGTGGCAGTGTGGCACTGTGGCAGATCAGACGTATAGATTACAACACTGATAACTACTGTTGCCGTGATATAATTGATTAGAAAAAAAATCCCTTCCTTTTCCCGTTTGGCAGTGCGTCGCCCATATCGCCCTATTGAACAGGCCGTCCCTGGTTGCCACCGAAGGCAGTTTTGCGTGGCTGATTGGGCTGCACGACGAGTCTATAAGCCGGCGACCTGACAGTGCTACTGGGTATCCCAGTCGTGTCGCCGACGGTAGCAATTTTTTTCCCTCCCATGATTTGATTTAAAATAGGATAGCAGCCTACACAATAAATAACTAATATTGATAACCATCTCGATTTCACCTTGATACTGCACATGCAGTCTACTCAATTGGGAGCGCATGAACGGCAACAACACCGGGACACAGTGCCCTTCGCTCCAGCTTGACAAGCACTACTGTCCGGAAACGGTGTGGGAAGTAGCTACCTAGTATCAGGGTGACAGTCACATTAAGTACATGCATACAACGCATGAAGCAACAGCGCACCCATCAGTGCTTTTAATCAAAAATAAACAATCATCAGTTTTATAACTGAAAATGTACAATTGTTTGTGTAAAACTAACAGTGAAATACGACTCAGACTCATCCTCTGGCTTCAAAACAGAAGTCCAAACTCTCGCGGTGTGGTAAGAAACGGAAGAAAAAAAACACTGCTCCAACAAAACCGCCTAACCTATAGCAGAGCGCTTTCGACACACCCACTCCTTTCCACACGCCCCACGCCCACTACTTTCCTTTCGACACACCCACTCGCCAATACTCCTGTCGTTATAATAATAATAATATGCCATTTAGCAGACGCTTTTATCCAAAGCAACTTACAGTCATGTGTGCATACATTTTTGTGTATGGGTGGTCCCGGGGATCGAACCCACTACCCTGGCGTTACAAGCGCCGTGCTCTACCAGCTGAGCTACAGAGTGGTCCTCTGTTGATTGTTATATTGAGCTGCAGCTACCCCCTTCTCCAAAATAAATCCCTTTTGCAATGAACTGTAAAAATGAAGACCAGAATTGACGTATTTCACTATAACTAAGCCTAAAACATCTGGTTTTCGATGACATTATTAATTTATTTCATTTAAGTTACCCTTTAAGTAGCGTAGCCTAGTTGATTGCATCTAGAGCAGAACAATGTTTTTTTTCTGATTTATGCAAGAAGCTCTACTAAATTGCTCATCCATATTACATATTTTGATAAGTAATAGTGTTGTGGTCTAATGTAATAAAAAGCAGAGCTAAAATCCCATACAAGTAGCAATCTCAACATTCCCTGCAGATAACTGATTTTGTCGCATTGTATGGAGGTTGTAGGCTATAATGTTGCCCCAGCAGTCAACATGACTTGCACTCAGTAAAGTGTGGTAACAATGTAATTACCCACACTTCTGTCACAAGACTCTTATACTGTGTCCCTGTTTTGATTATCGATTAAAGTAAATAGTGATTAATATAGTCCATGTGTGTCAGTGTGTGTACGTGTACCGGTATGCGTGTCTTTATACATGTTTGTATGTTTGTGTGTGTAATTCTCAATCTTATCTATTTCCAGATGACTAATGAGGCGAAGCCGTGTCCATGTGACATCAGGGACAGGATGGAGTATGGAGGTGTTGGATAGGAGGTCCAGGTGGATCACAGGAAGGCCTACATGGTCAAGCCTCCCTCAGACTAAGACAAGGCCGTCATCGCCATCCAGGACATCTATGGCTGGCAGCTTACCAACACCGGATACGTGGCTGACATGCTGGCCTGAAATGGATACATGCACGTAATAATAATGTCATAATGAACTAATAATAATGTCATTAAGCTGTTACCATGTGAAAGAGAGCGACCCGGCTCTACGTATTTTACTGGTATGTGACCCACTGACTCTGCCCCCGGTTAGAGGGGAATAAAGCAGGCCAAGATTTAACACACAGGAACTTTTTTTTATCACACTGAGGACGATGAACATGGAGATGCACATGGAGATGAACAGTGAAAAAAGGTAGTGGAATGGTAGTGGTTCTGTAGAAGGAAATGAAAGGCAATGAATATTCTGCACATACAATATGACAAGAGCAGTAATAACAGTAATAAACGACTGTATAAATGACATATAATCCCTGAACATGTTTACAGGTTAAAAGCTATACAGAGGCAGCATACAAAATGCAACAACAACAACAACAACAACTAACAACATTTAAAATAAATAAATAATAGTAAACAACAACTAACAATTAAGAACAGTATATACATGTCACACAACTCACTTCGGGCACCCACACCATACCACAAGTCCAGAGATATGAGTGAGTCCAGTTGTTGATGGGCAGAGACAGAGATGTTGCTCTCTGCCACAGCTTGAGGGAGACTGACAGTATTGTGTGACCTGTATAGTCAAGAGGATGGGCAGATGTCTGCCCCCCTAGTAACCTCCCTAGCAACCTATCAGGGCACAGGACACACAGATCAGAGAGAGTTTGAGAGGCAGGTTTATGGTACCCCCTAAACTCTCAGGCTCAGGTCTGGAGGATGGGGAGTGGAGTGTGCAGCTCATGGTTGTGAGGTGCTGATAACAGTCACCGGCAGGGAATTTGTAACACCATGCAAATAATGAGTAAATAGTGAAAAATACCAGGTAAATAGTGTTAACAGTAAAGTGTTAACAGTTTTCCTATGCTGGTTGTCTATCTCCGCCCAATGCAGTCTGCCCTGACTTCCATGTTGGAAAGGAGGCATGGAGCCCATAACTAGTCCAGCAGTGGGTGGAGGACAAGAAGCCCACCAATATCAACAAGTAAAGCAAACATTCCCATTGGCCAGAGAGTAGTCTCAGAAAGCCAAACTCCACCCCATTGGCCAGAGAGTACTCTGTGACCCATACTCTAGTCCATTGCCTGGCATTCACACACATGTATAGTATTAGTCTCTATCAGCTCACATCCCCTGTTGGCCAGCAGGGGGTACTTTTATGTTTGAGTCATTTAGCAGACGCTCTTATCCAGAGTGACTTACAGGAGCAATTAAGGTTAAGTGCCTTGCTCAAGGGCACTTCGACAAATGTTTCACCTAGTCAGCTTAGGGATTCAAACCAGCGACCTTTCGGTTACTGGCCAAACGCTCTTAACCACTAGGCTACCTGCCATATCACAAAGCTAAACTTATTAGTCTTACGTTCTGGGAATAGAATAGAATAAAATATAACTTTATTAACTCCCTCTGTTACAACTGAAATATGTGTGACCTGGGTACCCTGTATTCCCCCAGTAACCCAACCCCTCCCTCCCTGCTGTCTGTCTGTCCACTCTTAGAAAAAGGGTTCCAAAAGGCTTCTTCGGCTGTCCCCAAAGTGGAACCCTTTTTGGTTCCAGTTAGACTCCTTTTGAGTTCAATGTAGAACCCTTTCCATTTGAGGGTTCTACATGGAACACAAAATAGTTGTGAGTGTATATAAAGAAGGGGACCGAGATTCATAGACTACATCATTTTTGAAGAGGGGTGCTGTAGCTCAGCTGGTGTTGCTGTTCTGTCTGTCTGGAGCATGGAGTCAGGGAGAGAGTGGAGGGGTCAGACAGGATGACATCACTCAACAGGGTCACAGTGAAGGGGGAGAGAGCAAGGTGAGAGAAGTTCAGATTGAGAGCCAAGGGACTGAAGCTACAGAGACGACTCACAAACTGACGACTGGTCAGACCACCACCACCCCTGACATCTGGACTGAGCTGAAGGAGCTGAGAGACATGGTGCACAACATGGGAGCCATCGTGATGGAACAGAGAGTGGAGCTGAGCGTCACCACAACTGAACTGCAGCTCCAGAGGAACAAGGTGGAGGAGCTGGAGAAAGAGAATGCAGGTAATTAATTGATTTAGAAAACTGTTGCTTTTTTATTGGTGCAGAGGAAGACCACCAGTTATTTTTGTCTCCATAATTCTAGCTCAAGCAGCTGAACTGTCATCCATGGGGGCGAGAGTGACAGCCAGTAAGAAGGAGGTGGAGGAGCTGAAAAGAGAATATGTAGGTAGAACACACATGAACTCAACACCTTGTTTAATGAGCACTACACACATTGCACAGTACTCTTTTAATGACTCTTTCAAGTTTAGCAAAGTAACGGTCCAGAAAACATGGATCGCTGCCCTGTCAGTCCTGCTTCATACTCTAATTTAAAAGTACAGAAGCATTCATTACTAGAGATACATTACTTTAATGTTGTCTTCTGGAATAGTCAGTGTATGAACAGTCAATATATTATCTACTTCTTTGAAATAAATATCAGGCTGGAATGTTCATCTTTCAAAATTACTAATGCTACAATCATCATGCAGTGTATTCGATCTCCTGTGCTCACAGACAGACCAAATGTGGCCTTCTATACTGCTTTGATGAATGGAGGATATGTGGGTCCCTTTAATACTGAAACTACCCTGGTCTATAACACCGACATCAGCACAGCCTACAATCCAGCTACAGGTATTACATTTGTTGAAGTTGCAATAATTGTAGTTAAAACATCTGGTACATGTATGACAAACACTTTGTGTTCACAGAAACTGTGCAAATAGTACAATTAATATTATTGTTGCAGAGTTGACTAGAAACAGACAGTGCTGATTGATCTCTTCTCCTCTGATGCAGGTATCTTCACAGCACCAGTGAGAGGAGTCTACTACTTCAGGTTCACTGCCTTAAGTAACGTCAAATCAACAACCGTGTGTGTATTTGTGTACGAATTATGCAAGGTCTTGAAAACCTGAGTAGGGGTCATAATTATATATCTAATACATTGATTCTAGAGCTGGAGGTAGGGGGTGTGGTCTACATGCATCTCACCGAAGGGTGTCAGCTCTTTGTTGAGGCATATGACCAAAACACCTTCAGTGGCTTCCTGCTCTTCCCCATGTGAGGGGAGCACCATGCTAAAATGAACTCAATTTGCTGATGTGAACAGTTCTGGGGTTAAAGCCCCCAATGTTCCTCTCTAACCAATAAATAGGTATTATAAAAGCCAGACGACTCTCTTTTGTATCATTAGTATTTTACCATCAACAATATTCTACAGTCAAATAACCGGATAAGGGTAATGCAGTGGGTAGAACTGTTGTCACTAGACATCATCGTTGGTGTTTGTTTCTTTATGATGTGTGAATGACCTTCGTCATTATATTACGCACTGTCAAGTGTTGAGTTACAAATTGATCACCCGGGGCAAGCCAGGAGAGCCCTCATAATAGTGGGCTGGTCCTACATTAATATATCAAAGGTATGGGCGAGCCAACGTTCATATTTCTAATGATAATGGGGGTGATATAGCTCACCATTCTGCTGCATTCTGATTAAGGTTGAGCTAACAGCACATTTCTAGGTCTTATCAAACCAGTTGTAACCAGGGGTCATGTAGCTCTACTGGTGTTGAAGAGTTCAGCCAAAGGACTGAAGCTAAACAGATGACCCTTAAAATCTGGACTGAGCTGAAGGAGCTGAGAGACATGGTGGTGGAACAGAGAGTGGAGCTGGCTGTCACCAAGACTGAACTGCAATGCCATAAAGACAAAGTATACCACAAGACCATGTTGACCACAAGAGGGAGCCACAGGCAATAAACTCACCTATCAATGATGAATTATCTTTATTTGTACATCCAAACAAACAAATCAACAATGGCGTTGAGCAAACATGTCAGTCTCACCTTCAAAACTAATGTTCTTCCCAGGTAACAAGTTATTAATCCAAACTCATAGGCTACCATTTCTGTAAAGGATGATTAAATAATGCCTTACGCAAATTGTAGCCTTTTGAGTTTGGATTAATAAATTGTTTGATGGAATACAGACACAAAAAGAGTAAGACACAGCTCAATTCCTGGTACAGTGAGTGAGACATTAGGACACAACCATGGGACAGTACGCACACTGATCAGCCACACGCTATGGAGGGGACATCAGCTAGCAGTGTACGCTTACATAACAAACCTGTTGGAGACAAGCAAAACCGTGCAGCGAAATGAACAGCCATCTTTTAGTGTGTTAGTGTGTCCAATTATCACATCATGTCAATGTATATGAGGTTTTAGTTTCCAACCCCAGTGCCTTGCCTTGTCAAGTCTCTGGTAAAAGAGGTTCTCAACCTCAGGAGATCTCCTGGTTAAATGAAGGTTCAATCATTTAGAGAGTGAAAGGGGGTTGTTGCTACTGTAAGGATGTCCACATGATTGATAGGGGGCCTGGGCCAATGGCATCAGGGCAGAGAGGAACGAGCAGGGGTCAGTGTCCAATCACTGTTCATTGTTCCGTGGGGGGCAGTTCTGTTTTAAGAGTGGTAACCATAGAGAATCCCCAAGGCTGGTTAGGTAAGTTCCACTTCATCTATTGAAAAAGTATTTGGCCACATCCCAATCACTTTAAATGCCTTCCTTTCCTTGTTTCCTTTCCCTTAGTAAGGACCACCGAAAAGTCAATGGGTAAGATTCCACCATTTTGCTTTCATCTGCCGCACCATATTACTCCAATTCCGTTCCTTCCCATTAATTCCATTCCTTCCTGTTCCCCCTGAAGTGTACACACCTCAAGGAGAAAGGGGAGAATCGGAACTGGGGTCTCGTTTCATTTCAGCTTCAGTGGTTTAGAAGGAAAGTAGGTAAGGAAAGGAAGCTTTTTAAGAATGTTGGGACGCGGACCAGCACAGAGGGCTGTGGCTGCCTAGGTAGCCCCAACAACTCATGTTATTGGCTCAGGGCAGAGTTTTGAGAGAGGTTGGGGAGGGACTACTGGATGATAGTAGGTTCAAAGATCAGTTCACAGATTAGAAGTTTGGAAAAAGAGCAGCAGTTTTGGTCCACTGATGACCACTGATCGTCTGCTAGCTCTCCTACTCTTTACCCCCCTCTTCTGGTTGGGATGACGACTCTGACGGGGCCTGGCTCTTTTCAGCATCCTCTCCCTCACCTGAGAAAGAGAGAGAGAGAGAGAGCGAGAGAGAGAGAGAGCGTGAGAGAGTGGTAGGCAATTCATGCATTAATAATTACTCTAAATGACATCATTACATCAGTGAGAGAGAGAGAGAGCAGAAGAAGGGTGTTTGAGTTGAGTCATCCGCTAAAGCGACTTCAAGACATATTGACTATGATGTCACCATGTAAATATGGACAGCAGGACAACACTATTGGAGAATCTCAATTGCATACTCCTTGCGTCCTCTCTCCTTGCCTCCTTCTCAAAACCCACTGGAGGAGAAGGTCAGAGGGGAGGGACCTCTGGCTTTCTCATCCAATGGGTTTTGAAAAGGAGGTGAGGAGAGAGGGGTGAGGAGTATGCAATTGAGATTCTCCCTATGAGTTATCAAGGGAAACACATGGCTCGTCTGGCCTTTTCAACTTCCTGCGTTGTCCAACTTGGCATTGTCACACTTTCTCCCATACATACAGTATGTCATGTAAAACAACACATTGCACTGCTACAGAAAGAGATGAAGAGCTAATGTAGCCCAATCTATAAAACACAGGTCCTGTCAAGTCTTGATTTTGGCTCAAGTTGAAACAAGTTGGCTCATTCATCAGATACTGACCAACAGGTGAATTATGCTAGGCAAATCTCGAAACAGCGTGTGTGTCTAATGCTCTCACCGGATTTGTTGATGTTGAGCTGAGCCAGGTCGTGTGATATGTCGCTGGGTCCCTGTGCCTCAGGGGATTGTGGGATGTCGTGTACGGCGTTCCGTCGGCCGGTCCGCTGTGAAGCGATGAAGTCTTCATATGTCGCCTCCACATCAGTCATAGCTGATACACCTCAACATAGCAGGGCCTGGGATACAGGGGAACACACAACACACAATGTAAAACACACACGCAGTCTCCCAGGGGGGTGGGGGGATTACCCTGTGCCATAAACCAGCCATCTACTGAGGGGAGCCAGAAGGAAAGCCTTGCTGGTTAGCACCCAGAGAACCCAGTCCCTACAACATAAGCGAAATAGCCACGGGGGTTGGGGGGACATAACAAATTATAAAAAATACAAATATTCGTTTTTTTGAGCTGTGCCCAGATAGGATATGAACATGTCATAAGCAATGGCAAAATTAGTAGAATTGCAGGAAATTAGCTTTAAAGTAACTGTCCAGTGTTTACAGATTTCTATAAATTTGACCTATAATGAATTACAATATGAGTGACATAGTTTTCCTTCCAAAAAATGGTAATTAAGTATGTTAAAAAGCAGATGTTCTGTGTTGGAATGGTGTGGGCGTACCCCAACAACAGAATGGTGTGGGCGTATACCGGTCATAAAAAATATTCATGCGAGTAGACCGCTGTTTGGCCAGCTCATCCTCCTTAGGAGGCATCATCCTCTATATTGTGTTTTCTAAATACCCCTCAAGAAAGCCATGAATTGCAGGAAATGCGTTTTTTAAAAATTAATATCTACACCACAATTTTGCCCTTGCACTACAAACACACACTCAGTCAGTGACATCGCCATCACTGACATTACTTCCCTTATGAACAGTTTTACACCTCTGAATTCAAAACCACCTTTATTCTCAATATTCTACAATTCTTCGCCCAATGAAGGAAACACTATTGTTTAGTGTTAGCATGCATTGGACGAAATCCAAATCCTTAAACAACATGATTTCATATACAGTAACCACAAGGAAAGTGGAGATTGAGGTTAAGCCCTTCCGCTGACATGATAACACCCTATTAGAGAGAGGTTATACCCAGAATGCAGTGCATAACGATGACCGCCGGGCGCTATTTTAGGCCCCTATCATCGTCTCAGCTGCTTGACACTCAGCTGTAACGCTCAAAATGTTGTCACCGTGGCAGCGATGGTAAACAGCTGTTGGACTAGTAAACACTCACTACTAATGAGGACCCCAGTCACCCCATACTGGTCATACACTGGGGTTCCTTTGGATTGGTTGTTACATCAACAATAAGGTTAACTTGCAGGGGAAATAAACAGTTATTTCTCAAATTAACAGAGTATTTGTGTAAAGTATATATTTGAGTGTTTACGGTATAAAGACAACATCTCATTGATATGTCTAAATTTTATATATTTGTGTCAGATGTACAGAAGTACCAAATCAGGAATTGGAGTGGGACTGAGAAGGACGACTGACATACAGTCCCTATTACTGTAACTGGGCTAGCTGGTATTGCCAATACTCATAATCGCTGGTGTGGCGAACACACTTTATGCTATGATTTGTGGCGTGAAGTACAGTATATTTCTTTGCTGTGAGAGTTCAATGTGGCGTGTAGGCTACAGGACTGGTTTTAGTGGTGGGACTGGGATGTACCTGGAAATATGCCCTCTGAAATATTCATGTTTTACATAATTTACACACAACAATACACCAGAGGAGCTAAGATCAGCATACATGATGAGCTCTCTCTCTGTGTGTGTGTGTGTGTTTTCCCTGTTTACTGATTGACAAATGTGTAGTCATTACCATGGAACATGCCATTTGCAAGAAGCCAGAGCATGTCCCTGTAACATTAGGGGCAACAGCCTTCCTAAAATAGCCTTCCTCTCTCTCATACAATTAATTTGCATATGATGACAGACCTGTAGTGGTGTACTCCAGACTGAAGGAGGATGCTCCAAGATGTAATAGGCCTACATGTAGTCAGTCCAGTCATGTCTGACTGTAAACCATTCATTCTCATTCTCAGTATTAGTTATAAGGCTTTGGGGAATCATTGCATGGTCATTATGATATTTATCTAGACTATGTTAATTCATTTCGAACGAATGTGCATTAAAGAACACGAAAGTGAGTGCAATTTGTTGTTACAATGTTTCAATCCTGTAATAGCAAACATCGGCTGTTTGGCAACATTGTAATCAAATGTATGTCGATGTTGCATTTGCACAAGGTGACGGGTTCCAACCGGGCTAAATCAAAACAGCAGAAAATGTCGTTGAGCTATTGACAAAGACTTCTCTAAAATCTGTAGCTTGACAGCCTGTGAGGCACAGCGAAAGCGGCACCATTTAAACCGGTAACACACACCGAAATCGAAGCTTGAAATCTCATTAAAATCTTACCTGTGTGTGCTGAGGACTTCCAAACAGAAGCTGCTTTGCACGGTCAATCACACAGCGACATGGGGCAGTCGACTGTCGTCTGTGATTTGCGTCGCGATTCGCGTCTATAGATGCATCCGGACCTTTCTTGAGGCACTGCGGGCGCAGTGGGCGCACGTAGGGCATGACGTTTGAGCACAGGGCACAATGGTTCAATGGTTGGTCACTGCTCGTGCACTGGCTCGCCTGTGCAATTAGGCTATTGTAGTGCAAGATGTAGCCCTATTTTAATTGTATTAAATGTAATAAAATTACGCTATTCTTATAATTTTTTTGCCTAATAATTGATCTTCTTAGGCCTAACATAATTCAATATATACGATTTTACTGAGTTACAGTTCATCAGTAAATCAGTAAATTGAAATAAATTATATGGGAAGCCCACCCACTTGGGAGCCAGTCCCAACGACTGGGGAGCCAGGCCCAGCCAATCAGACTGAGTTTTCCCCAACAAACGG